GGGCTGTGAGCTTCGCCCCGGGAGGGGGAAAGGAGCGAGGAGTAAAGCCAGGGTGAAGGGTTCGAATTTGGGGGCAGGGGGCGCACCCGCGTCAGCAGGCCCTTCCCAAGGGGCTCGGAACTGTACCTTTTCACCTACGCCCCTGGTTCGCCTTGCTTGAGGAAAGGATAAGAATAGAAGGACCGGGGAGAGGAAGATAAAGGGGGACCCCCCAATTGGGGGGGCGAGGACGAGAAGTAAGAGGACCAGAGGGCGGGGGCTGCTGCTCGCATCGGCCCACACCATGCTGACCCCGCCGTTGCTGCTGCTGCTGCCCCTGCTTTCCGCTGTGGTCGCCGGGGCCACTGTCGATGGTGAGTGAGATTCCGCGGCCCCCTCGGAACCCTGGGGGCTCCCCCTTCCCAGCCCCCACTCCTGCGCCTGGATGGGGAAAGGGAGACGCGGGAGGGGGTGCCTTTTGTTATCCCAGCTGACACAGCAGCGGCCTGACTGGGGGCGGGGATGGGGTCTGATTTGGGGGATGGGAGCCTGGGACAAATGATGCTTCCAGGGCCCCCCAGCTCAGACAAAGACCAGAGGCCTGGCCAGGGAAGGAGGGCTCCCCCTTTTTCTGATCCTGGGATTGAGAGGCCTTCTCTCCCTATTTCTGGTAGGGGAGGGCCTCTGCCTCCCCTACATCCTCCCCCCTTCCCCCCATCTGAATTGTGGAGGAATCCGGATTTGCTGTGTACCGCTGCAAAAGGGGGCGGAGGGCCTTTTGCAGTGGACTCTGAAGGCTGGAAGGCAAAGCTGGCTAGGGGTGCCCTGCTGGCCAGAGGGCAGGCAGGCCGAGAAAGCTGTGGGTGGGGAGAGGGAGGGCCCCCTGTTTGGGTGTGGAATGAGCCCTGCATCCCAGGCATGGAGGCCTGGATCCAGAATCCTGGTCTGCCTGCCTGGGCTCGGAAGTGAGCACTCCCCTTTGATGGCCTCTGTCAGTAGCGGCGTTGCAGGGTTAGAGGGGTCTGGTGATGCACTGGACTGAATTTCCCTTCTTAAAACCTGGGAGCTTTGAGATGAGGGGAAAAAAAAATCAGATGTCATCATTCTGGAAGAGACTGGAGAATGGTCTGGAACAGAGGATGTCTGCGGTGATCACAGTGTAGGTTGGAAGGAGAGTTGGAGGTTGGATGCCGGGTTACGGCTACGCCCCCACGCCCCAATTCCCGCTCATTTAGTAAATGTGTTTAAGCTCAGCACCCCTGCCTCACCCCACATACACTTTATATAGTAGTTAGGCTTGGGCTGTCGTGTTCTTTGGTGGAAATCGCGGGGCTCCTCTTCCCTTTCTACCAGCTGTTTCTCCTCCTGCTATGTGTGAGTCACCAGTTCAAGACTTGCCCAAGCTTCACGCTGGGGTCATGGGGTTGAATTGGGCTGGGCCCCCAACTTGAGAAGGGGTGAGATTTCATTACTTCCCGTCAGGGTGGCCCTCCTCTGCTCTCCAGACCCTGCCAGGCTGGGATTGGGAAAGTTTTTCTCTGAAACCGGATTATGTGCTCTCCCCTTCTCCAACTTGTTTCAACTGGGAGAGGAGGGGTCAGGAAGCAGCTCTGCTCAGAAAAACAGTTTACTCGGTGGCCCTCAGTCATGTCAAGTTGGGGGCTGTCTTGTCTGGCTTTCACCCCTAATTTTCTGCCTGTGATGAGAAAACTTCAGGGCTCTGCCCTGGAAATCCTTCAGACAAGCCTGCTCAACTGTCCTCTGCCTTCACATACATTGTCCTGGGTCTTCTTCTTGGTCTCAGCCCTGTGAGCGGAGAGGGGAAATTGAGGCGGCGAGCTTTGGGTAGAAGACAATGTTAAGCAAGAAACAGACCCATCGGGATCCTGTGAAGGGGGCAGGTGGAGTTGGGTAGGAGCAAAAGCTATCTGTTGGAAAGCCCGGGTAACTCCAAGGAGCCTAAACGTTGCACTAAGTTGATTGATTGGTGGTGACTGAACCAGGGAGACTGACTGACATGTTCTCCTTAACTGTCTAGGCATGCACCTCTGAATCCTACTTCATAGAGCTCTGCACATGGTCTGTCAGAGTGGGGTAAAGGTCAGTGGTAGACTATTTGTCCTAGCACATGGGATGCCCTGTGTTCCATCCCTGAGGAGAAACACAGTCCCCAGGGACGGGACCATGTGCAAACACACCCATATTCCTCCCCCTCAGGGGGAATAGAGAACCTGTAGACTCTGAATGTCCTTGGCTTTCCAGGGAAGGGGCCTCCTGCCTCTGCGTACCTGATGGTTTAATTGCCCGTCCTGCTTCTCAGGAACGGCTCTATCCTCCCACCCCCACCCTTTCTTCTCTCTGGGTCTGGGACTCATACTGGGGCCCTTGGCATTGCGGGGTGAGAGGGTTCGCTTCTCCCAATAGACGGAGTTAATGCACTTGCAGCCAAGGAGGATGGAAAAGGCCATGGCAAGAAGGCTCACCCAAGGCTCTGCTGAGATGAAGGGACAGTCCATGGTGGAGGGAGCGTGCCAGGCAGCCATGCAGGGCAGACTTCTAACCCTGTCCTCTCCTGCTTGAGTGTGTTATTAGTTGCTAGGGAAGGTGGACAGCTGAAGTGAGTTATGGGGTTGATGTGCTAACCTCCTGGCTTCCTGAGAGAAGGTTCCAGTCTCTGTTCTCAATCCTGAACATCCCTCTGTGACTTCCTCCTCTGAAGCCAGACACGTGTAGGAAATTCATTCTGGCCATTACTTTGATGTTGGGGGCAGCTTCACAAGACTTTTTCTTGCAGTCTTGTTCCAGTGCTTTCTGTTTGTTTGTTTTTGTTTGCTTTATTACACTGTATCACTCCCCTTTACTGGGCCTTCCAGCCATGCCACTCAGGGCCCAGCCCTAAGTCAGATCCTTCCCAAACCCACACCCTCTTCCAACCCCTTCCTGAGGTTGGGGCGCAGCTTAGGTGGGTGGCTGAGCAAGCTTAGCAGTGCTTAAGGCCCGGAGTTCGGTCCCCAGCACCAAAAAAAAAAAAAAAAACCAAATCAATCAGCAGCCATCGCTTCCCTTTGAAAGCCCTTCTTTATTCCAGTTTCCCTCTTTCCTGTCTTAGCCCTGCACATACGAACCCTAGAGTTGATTCACGCACACACGTCCCGGATTCTCTTCCGGGAGGTCTTCCTACCTCTTGGATTCCTTACTCTGTGACCCACATCTGAGTAGGGGGGAGTTTGCTTGTCCTTGGGGAACCTAGGGCTGTTAAGTGGGACTATGCAAGGGTCCCCGAGTTGGTGGTGACTGGTGCCAGGGTCCCGCGCCCCTGGGTTTCTGTCCCAGATTTGAGCCTGGTTAGCAGGATCCTGCATTGTTTGGAGAAGGAAGCAGTTGGCTCTGGAGTGTTTCCCGTGCTGTGGCCTCATGGCACCAGTGTTGAGAGCCTCCTAGGAGGTGAGGGGTGGGGAGAGGGGATTGTAGGTCACACTCCCATGAGATGACCCCCCCCCCACACTTCCCACTCTGTGAGAGGCAGCAGACTCTAATCTGGACTCCCTTAGGTCAGAAGTTGTTGTGCTGGGACTCTGTCTCCCAAAGCCAGGATATTTGCTGCCCCGCCTCCGTTTTGGGGGGAGGAAGGGGGGTCATTGTCTGGGTTCACCCCAGGACACCTGTGTCTCCCTATGGGCAACCTCTGCATTGAGCCCCTGTCCTGTCCATCTTCTACTGGTCTTCCAAGAGGCTCTGCCCCTGGCCCTCTTGGGTCATGCTTTGCAGTCTTCCTAGTCCTGGCTGCTCCCAGTCACTGTCTTACTTTCTTTAGTCTGTCTGGACCTCTCTGCCGATCCCCTAGATCAGGGGAGCTACCTGGGAGTGGCATCTCTCCCATGCTTTGCTTCCTGCACCCAGACTGTCCCCTCCAACACCCCCAACTCCTCTCTCCTAATGCACACTAAAAGGGGGGATTGTGGGGAATTCAGAAGGGACGGAAGGAGGTGAGACTTCTGGTAGGACTTCCTGCTAACAGGGGTCTGAGAACCGAAGCAGGCCAGGAGCTTAGGGCCTTCCTGCTGGTGATCGAAGGCCATGTGGGTAAGGGGGGAGGGCTGTTAGTGGCCTCGGCCTTGGGAGTGATATGTTGACCTCCGCAGGCAGTCGAGGGGGTCTGGATTTTATTTGTGGGGAAAGAAAAGACAGGGTCGTGGGTGAGGCTAATGTCCTGAGTCAATATTGACTCAGGATGGAAGAGGAGATCCCCTCTTCCCCTGGCGGTCCAAGCCTCCCTGTCTGTCCATCTGTCCCAGGCCGCAAAGCTGAGTTCCAGACTCAGGAATGACAAAAATGTGTCTGAACCTCACTGAGCTGCGGGAAGGAGCTGCTGGTAACACCCAAAATACATAAAATTTGGGGGAAAGTTTTCTGTTGGGCCAGAGGCCCTTGCTGCCCTGCTCCCAAATGTTTGAAACCTCAGATTCCTGTAGCCGGCCCCAGCTCCTCCTGTTCCCTGGGTTAACCGTGTGGTTTCCCTTACAGAATGTCCCCAAAGCTATCAGAGGGCCCTAGCCCTCTCTGCTGTCACTCTCCAAATGGCCCCAGGGTCACTTTCTCGTTCCGGCCTTCCCTCTCCTTGTCCTTCAGGAAGAATGTTTAAGGTTCCCAGGGGTTGTTGAAGGACAGGTCCCCGTTCTTTTGGAGAAGTCTCTACCCAGGGCTTCCTTGGCTCCCTCTTACATGGGCCTCCTGTCCGCACCCCACCCCAAGGTCTCAGAGTGGGACAGAGGATGATAACCAGGCTTGAGCCAGGCAGTGGGGTCTGTGTTGTGTCTGGATACACACCCAACCCCACACCTCCTGCTCTGGCTCCAGCTTGGTGGCCCTGGGGGCCATGGCTGGGCTGGGTGCCTGGTTGGGGAGGGGCAGGGTGTTGGTCAAGTTTAGCATGGCGGTCACATCTCCAGGCAAAGGCGAGAACAGACGGCCCCTGTGTCCCCGTGCTCCTCTGCAGTTCCCTCTCCCTCCTCCCTCTTTCGCATGCCCTAGCCCTCTTCTGTCCCATTCTTGGTCCCCTCCTCCGTGCCCTCCTCCCCAGAGACTACCCAGCCTGTACAGTTCCCTCCTGCTGCTAGGGGAACCAAGCTTTTGCCTTCTCCTCCTCCTCAGTGTTCTCCTCTGTAAAATGGGATTGCACCAGCAAACACCTCACGGCTTGACAGTAGGACCCCAGGGCTTCAGATCTGTGTGTGGCACTCAGTGGTCACCAGGCCGGAACAGGCATGGACTGGACAATAGTCCCTGCCTCCTAACCTATGACAATATTGTTCCCCATCAGAAGGCCCAAGGATGGGTTTTCTGAACGTTAGTCGGGTTCGGGTTCTGATGCAGACGATTCAGCTGATGGTATCTAGGTTGGCTTGGCCTTTAAGGAGATTATGCATTTTTTCCTTCACCCCCATCCCAGCTCCCTCCCAGCTTGTAGGAGGCTTCACTTGGCTGTGGAGAATGCCCCAAAGTAGGTTATGTGTTTTCCTTCTCACCAAAGGAAATCAAAGACAGGCTTCAGCCTTTTCACTCAAAATTCCTAGGGCTTTCTCCACCATGGCTGACAGGAAGTTCTTCCACTTATCCCTCTCCAATCCTTCTGTTACCCTGGCTCTCCTGAGAGACGTGCACCCCCACCCACCTCAGCTCACCCCGCCCACCGGCCCCATCCAGCCTCTCTGCCTCTGAGCCTGAGGACATGGTACAGAAGGGACAGGGTCTGAACCCTCCTCTTCCTTTTAGGGAGGGAGGGGAGCCCATCCCCCACTGCCCTCCCTCCACAAGAGCACATCTGGTTTGTGAATCTCTCATTTCAGCTTTTGGAGTTTGCCAGCTGCTGTTTCCTCTGTCGAATTCGGGCCAAAAATGGGGGTGGGGGACAGTGGGGGAACCATGTGAGGACCAAAGGAGGGGATTGTGGCTGGGACGAGGAAGACAGGGGAGGTTAGGGTGACCAGCCAGTGACCTCAGACCCTGGCTGTGAGCTCTGCCCCGGGGAAAGTTGGGGCATGGGCTCAGCCCCAGGTGGGGTAGGAAGAAGAATCTGGTGTCTCAGAGACCCGGTTCTGAGCTCCAAACACCCCATCTGCCTCTGAGTCCCACTGCAGTCCCCCCAACCCCCCAAGTGGCCTGGCTGGCCAGGGGAAGTGATGGTCTCCAGCATGCTAACTAGGTTGGCGGGCTGTTTCCCCGGGAAGACCTCACAGCTGGCCCAGTGGAGCAATGAACTCAGCATTATCCACCTCCTCAAGGGGCCTTTATTCCCGGATCAGGGGAGGAGGGAGGAAGGGGGACTCCAAGGGGGCCTGGCCAGGCCATCCTTGATGTGTTTCCTGAACTCAGCTCTGGTTCTGGCCAGGGGCCTGGGTACAGTCCACTCTGCCAGAGATGGGGATGAAGGAGATGGGCCTGGGTATAGTCCACTCTGCTAGAGATGGGGATGAAGGAGATGGGCCTGGGTATAGTCCTCCCTGCCAGGGATGGGGATGAAGGATACTGGGGCCTGGGTACAGTCCTCCCTGCCAGAGATGTGGATGAAGGGGATGAGCCTGGGTATAGTCCTCCCTGCCAGGGATGGGGATGAAGGATACTGGGGCCTGGGTACAGTCCTCCCTGCCAGAGATGTGGATGAAGGGGATGAGCCTGGGTACAGTCCTCCCTGCCAGAGATGGGGATGAGGGAGATTGGGGCCTAGGTACAGTCCTCCCTGCCAGAGATGGAGATGAAGAGACTCCTGACACTTTTCTTAGTCTCGGGTCTCAGTCCTGCGTTTGGGTTAGTGCTGTACAGTCCCCCGAGAAACTGTTGCCTTTGTACTCGCCCTGGTGCCTAGTTCAGTGCCTGACACAGAGCTGGCCTCCAGCATGTGTCAGAGGTACAGAAACGGGCTGCACCCAGGTGGGAGAAGAGAAGATGAAAAGCTGGGAAGTGGGATCTGTGCCCTGGGGTAGGTGAAGACCCCTGTGCTGGACATGGCGACCAGGGCACCAGATGGGCGAGGACTACACTCTGTAAGAACCTAGAGTTGGGCTGGAGAGATGGCTCAGAGGTTAAGAGCACTGACTGCTTCTTCAGAGGGCTTGACTCGATTCCCACCACCCAAAGGCAGCTCTCAGCCATCTTCCAGGGGATCCAATGCCCTCTTCTACCCTTCTCAGGTGCCAGGCAAACAGGTGGTACACACACACACACACACACACACACACACACACACACACACACACGCAGGCAGAACACCCATACACATAAAATAAAACTTTAAAAAGAGAGAGAGACTAGAGTCAGCTGATTTTGTGACTTGCCAGTAGGTTAATAGCTCTCTGCCTGCCATCTGTGGGGCAGTCTAAGTGAGATGGCAGCTGGTTGATCAGTGCCCCTGCACCCTGCCTCTGCCGGGGAGTGATCTTTAGGTATTTCTTATCGGGAAAACTTCCCCTGGAAATCCCCTGCTCTGTGGCCTGACCAACAAGCAAAGCTGTGTGTTGTGGAAGGTGAACCCTCTACCCCCCCCCTGCCCGTGTGACCCTGCCCTGCTGTCCTGCGCAGATAACATCTCCAAGCCACACTGTCCTCCACAGTCCTCACGTGGGGGGGCAGTGGTAAGGAGTTGGAGCTGGGATGATAGGGTGAAGAGGCCAGTAGTGTCGCTGAGGTCAGAGACGCTGCTGAGTGGTTAGGAAAGGCCGTCTGCAGGCTGCCCGTGGGAACAAGAGGAAAACACAGCAGTGGCCTCTGCCCTTCCCCACTGTCACAGTTAGCAAGGTCAGGGGTGCTGGCGTGTGATGAGGAAGCTAGAGCAGCAAAGCCTTTGGCCCTGAGGCCCTGGGGTGGAGGGGGATGCCGGACAGACAACCTAGAAAACCTGGAAAGGGGCGGTAACCCGCCTGAATCTGTCCCCTCGCTACAGGTGCACAGCTGGAAGCATTGATGCTGGCGAAGGAGGAATCCTGGGAAGCCCCAGGGTCCAAGAGCTGACCTCCATTCTCCTCACATTTCCCCTTTCTCTCCTTGCCTTTAGCCCCCAAAACTTGCAGCCCTAAGCAGTTTGCCTGCAGAGACCAGATCACCTGTATCTCGAAGGGCTGGCGGTGTGATGGGGAGAGGGACTGTCCAGACGGCTCTGACGAGGTCCCTGAAATCTGTGAGTGCTTCTCCTGGGTCCCTCTCTCCAGACCCTGCGCTTCTCTCTCTCCTTTTGAGGGGTGTGTGGGGCAGGAGCAGCCAGTCTCTAGCCTGGCTTGGACCTTGCTGTGTGGTTGTTTCTGCCCATGACACGCTAAAAGTGTTCTCTCCCCTGCTCTTCCAAGTACCAGACATGGTGTGGGTAGCGATGGTACCTTGGATTTCTCCTTTGGCTGCTATGTCAAGGCTGCTGGGTTGTACCTTTACCACAAGAAGATAACCAAGATACCCTTTTCCTTCGAGCATTTTCTTTTCCACAGATTTGAAACTTCTCTGGCACTCATGAGTGGCCTTCAGGTCCTGCCAGGTACCCTTCTGCCCTTAGTTTCCCAGGCCAAAGGCCACTGCTCTTGCTCAGTCCCTATACCAGAAGCCCCACCCCGTGCCCTTCCCGGCACCCAGCCTTCCCCTGCCCCCAATACATGGTGTAATCAGAGGCAGCTGTTTAAACTGGGGGAAAGGTCCCCACCCAGCCTTCACCCTCCCGGTGGCCAGGAGGAGGGTGGATAGGGTGGAGGACTTGCTGGGAGGACCCCAGAGTCCTGGGGTCTCTGCCTTCAGTGTCTCCCCTGAATGACCAAACCTGGCCAAAGGTCTAAGCGTGCTGTCTTTCCCCCTGGGCTTCATCCAGCTCCAGTCCCCTCTTGTGTCCCCACAAGACGCCTCCAACATGGTTATCAAGGGTAGTGTTTAGGGTGGAAAGGAAGCTACCTGCTTTTCTTCCTCATCCCTGCATCCTGCCCTGGAGGAGTAAGAGCCTGGGCCTTAGGTCTGGAGCCTCCTCTTCCGTTTTTTTGTTTTGTTTTTCCAGATGGTTTCTCTGTGTTGTTTTGGAGGCTGTCCTGGAACTCGCTCTGTAGACCAGGTTGGCCTCGAACTCACAGAGATCCGCCTGCCTCTGCCTCCTCAGTGTTGAGATTAAAGGCATATGGCATCACGCCCAGCTTCATATGTAGTTTTAACTTAGCACACTTCAAGTGTTTGAGAACTGTGCGTGGCTGGTGTCGTGTGTATGAACTGAGTCATATGACTGGTGTCGTGTGTATGAACTGAGTCATATGACTGGTGCTGTACATATGAACTGAGTCATATGACTGGTGCCGTGTGTATGAACTGCTTCACTTCGAGACTTGCTCTGAGAACCACAGAAAGATAGTTGTTTCTGTTTATCATTTGAGCTCCGGGTCTGCCAGGGACTATGTTTTCTTGAACTCATCAAAACCTTTCATGTCTGCCTTCTGCCTGCCTCCTGATTTAAAGAATACTGAGGCTGCAGGGTCCATAAGCATGGAGCATAGGTAGGCCCTAGCTTTCCCCTTCACACGGCTGTCAGATGTGTAGCTACTGTCATGAACAGTGAAGATGTAGGTAAATGGGTCCATCTAGTCCCTCTTGAAATCTAAAGTGTATAGCTCTCTAAAATGCTGATCCTGGTTTATCCCTCACCTACCCTAACCGAGTACAGAGATGATAAATGTCTACCTCAGGCAGCTCGATCATGTCATCATGTCTGCTTGCTCCCAGGTCCCCAAAGTAAAGCCCAGAGATGTCAACCAAATGAGCACAACTGTCTGGGGACAGAGCTGTGTGTTCCCATGTCTCGTCTCTGCAATGGGGTCCAAGACTGTATGGACGGTTCAGATGAGGGGGCTCACTGCCGAGGTAAGGGCGTCACACACTTCCGCGCCACGGGTACATGATCTTTTGGCGCAACATCTGGTGGCAAGGGCCACCCTTGTGCCTTCGTGGGTGTGAGTTGTCCTGCTCCCGTGCCCAGACTTGTCACTGAAATTAGTGGGCCCCTTGGGTTTGGAGCTTGATCAAGCAGGCCTACGGGCTGCAGCTGTGGGTACTTTTCTCTGGCTGTGCATGCTCGACAAGTCACCTCCCTTCAAGCCTGTTCTCAGCATTTTATGCTCTGCTTGTAATAGTGAACCACTTTCTCCAAACGCTTTCCTACATGACCCCCGGGTGTGAACACATAGGAGCAGAGATGTTGTCATCAGATCTAGGGTTAGGGACCTCGGTTTTGGTTCACTGACCCGCCAGAGTACTAGAAGGCATCCCTGGAGAGCCGCAAGTCTTGGAGGGGTCCAAGAGCTGCTGTGGCCCTTCCTTTCCGTACATTCTCAAAGCTGATTGAATGGGAAAGTCATTCAGACTGAGGAGGGCACATTAGTGACAAGTCACACTTCTTAGCTGTGGTAGCGGTTTAAGAGGAATCCATGGTGTGGACGGTGCCAACCTTCAGGCCTGGCTGTTAGAGAAAGAGTCGCCTCTCTTCTGCCCTGGGTTGTTCTGGGCCTGGAGCAAGCAACCCTTGACAGGCCTTGAAGAGAGTCATGGGGCTGGGGGTGGGGCCAGTGTCATATGTCATGCACATGTCAGAAAACATCTGCTTGTGGGAGGAGGACACATCTGGATTCTTTCACTGGGGTAGGGGCTGTGGAGCGAGGGGAATTGTGGGAGATTTTTCTCTTCTTTCTTTTGGCTGGTTTCATCTGGAGCTATTGGGATGAGATACAGAAAGTAAATTTAGGACCAGCTTCAGCCATGGCCAGTCTCGTGCCCAGATTAGCTTCCTTCTTGAATACCTTTTTAGTTCCAGAGGCTTGGAACCCCCCCCCCCATTAGAGATACCCCCCACACACACAGACTGCATTTCCACATTTCCCACAGCAGGCAACATTTACCCATTTGGTGAAAGACAGAAAGAGTAGCTGAAGCTGCCCGCACCCAGCTCCTCCTGGCAGGCTTAGTGCTTTAAACACCTTAACCTCTCCGAGGTTCTCTCCTAGGTGGGGGTTTGTGGCACTTGGACAAAGGGGTCTTTGTGGCCTAGTCGCTGGCCCCAAGCAAGCCCTTAATTGGGTTGCTGGGGGGGGCGCAGTTCTCCCAACCCTCCCCACCCCCATCCTACCCTCTGTCTCCCCTTTGGAAGTGGGTCATGGTGGAAGGAGGAACTCATCTGATTCTCCCTCTTCTCCCCCATCTGGACCCTGGGTCTTCCCTCTGAGGCCTCCGGAGCTCACGGGTGACTTAGAGGAGCGCTTCTAGGCCAGAGGGCAGATGCAGTTGCGTTGCCTGCCCCTTCTTTACCCTCAGCTGGAGCTGACATAGTAAACTCCCTTCAGCTGCGAACACAAGGCACGTGAAAGGGACAGGATTCACCGTCTCTTCCTGTTGACCCCATCAGAGTACCAGAAGCCATCCTAGGGAAGGGGACGTGGATGGTCCAAGGACGGAGCAGGAAGAGGCGGGTGCCACGCCACAGCTGGCTGTGCCACCTTGTGCCTGCTGCATCAGCCGTTTTTGGGCTTTGCAAAATAATGCACTTGCTGTCCCTCTCGGGCACTGTGGCCTTGACTTCAGAGCAGTTTCTGAAGGGTGACTGGAGATGGGAGCAGGTTGCTGTCTTGGGGTCTCCTGAGTGTGTCTCCTGCCCTTGTGCAGAGCTCCGGGCCAACTGTTCCCGAATGGGCTGCCAGCACCACTGTGTCCCCATGCCCAGCGGGCCCACCTGCTTCTGCAACAGCAGCTTCCAGCTGCAGGCAGACGGCAAGACATGCAAAGGTATGTGACTGTCTGTGAGGGGCTGGCTGCCAGCTGGGTGGGAGCAGGGCCCGGGGAGGAAGAGACAAAAAGCAGGGCCCAAGGGGCAGTCCAGACATAATGTGGCTGTGAGCCCTAAGCATTTACTTTCAGTGAACCTGTAAAAATTCTTCAAAAACATTGTAGATTGCACATGAATTTTGTTGTAAAAAATTAAAACATTAGCCAGATGGTGTGGCTCACACCTGTAATTCCAATACTTGAAAAGCTGAGGTAAGTGTATTACTGTAAGTTCCAGGCCAACCTGGGGTACAGAATAAAACACTTTCTCAAAAAAAAAAAAATCAAAGTCAGGTGGTGGTGGAGCACGCCTTTAATCTCCCAGCACTCTTCAGGTAGAGGCAGATGGATCTCTGTGAGTTCGAGGCCAGCCTGGCTTACAGATTGAGTTCCAGGACAGCTGAGGCTATGCAGAGAAACCCTGTCTTGAAAAACAAAACAAAAAAACTAAACCGAAGGAAAAAAAAGAGAAAGAAAACATTACAGATAAAATGAAGTTTAATAAATTCTCTTCAGCCGGGCGGTGGTGGTACATGATTTTAGTCCCAACACTCGGAAGGCAGAGGCAGGCAGATCTCTATGAGTTTGAGACCAGCCTGGTCTAGTTCCAGGACAGCCTCCAAAGCTACACAGAGAAACCTTGTCTAAAAAACAAACAAACAAACAAACAAACAAAACAGATAGATGGGTGGGTGGGTGGGTAGGTGGGTGGATGGATGGGTGGGTGGATGGATGGATGGATGGGTGGGTGGGTAGGTAGGTGGGTGGGTGGGTGGATGGGTGGGTGGGTGGGTGGGTGGGTAGGTGGGTAGGTGGGTGGGTAGGTAGATGGATGCTCTTCAATCCCGATCCTGTTCTCATCTCTCTGGAGACAAAGTCTCCTGCAGTGTGCACTCTGCCCCTCTGCAAACCCTCTTCTGCGTACGTGTATTCACCAAAATGTAATTGTGAATCTTGCTTGTGTGTCTGTTCTTTTTCCATAAGTCATGCCACACTGTAGGTATCATTTACAATGTTTTTCACTCATCAGTACATTCTAGGGATTTCCCCTACACCCGTGGTAGTTTGTCCGGATTTATCTCATTCACTGAAACCACTGTGACGCGTAGCTGTCACCACAGTTTACTTGGCCATTTCCCCATTGATGAGTAAGATGTTCCCAAGCTTTCCCCTGCCGCAGACAATGCAAACCTTGCTGTTTTAAAGTTGGCCTCCTCAGGTCTGTGCAAATGCCATCTTCTCACGCAGCTTGGCCGTCCCTCTGCACCACACCCCAGCAACCAGCTTTCCTGACTTCGCTCTCTCCTGCTTGTTTAAGCGTGCCATTGCTTTGCCTACATATATGTGCGTGTACCTGGTGTTTGTGGAGGACAGAAAAGCGTGTTGGATCAAACTGGAACTAACATTATGGGATGGTTGTGAGCTGCCTTGTGGGTGCTAGGATCTGACCCCAGGTCCTCTGCAAGAGCAACATGTGCTCAAAACAGCTGAGCCACCTCGACAGCCCCTCTGTTTTGTTTTAAGATTTATTTATTTTAGATGTGTGAGTGTTTTTGCCTACATGTGTGTGTACCACTTGGTGCCTGAAAAGGTCAGAAGAGACACTAGAATCCCTGAAACTGACCGTACTGGTGGTTGTGAGTCATCATATGGGTGCTGGGAACAGAATCTGGGTACCCTGGAAGAACTGTGGATGTTCTTAACCACTGAGCCATCTCTACAGCCCATTGCCTTTTGTTTTGAATGCAGTGCTAGAGATCAAACCCAAGGCCTTGCCCATGTTAAGGAGGCCCCCCACCACTGACAAACACCCCACCACTGACAAACACCCCACCACTGACAAACACCACAGTCCTTCTTTGCCGTTTTTTTCCCAACAGCACTAATCATTTCTCACTATAGTACCACACCTAACCCAAACTTTACCTTCTATTTCCTTTACTGTAGCATCGGCCTTCCATTTATTCCTAGAATGTAGGTTTCATGAAGATGGTAATGAAGTTCTGTTTCAAATTCATTGTTGTCTCTCCTGTGCTACCCTCATCCGTTTTTCCAAGAAATGTTTTCTGAATGAACGGATGACGTCAGGCATGATGGAGCAGAGTAGATCCCAAAACCCTACTTTCTGGGCAGTGGGTTTGCTCATTCTGAATTGTCATCCATTCTGCCAAACCATCCTTCAGCTGGTGATGTCTCAGGGTGCCTTTGTCCTTCTCTCCGCGCAGATTTTGACGAATGCTCAGTGTATGGCACCTGCAGCCAGCTTTGCACCAACACGGACGGCTCCTTCACGTGTGGCTGTGTTGAAGGTTACCTGCTGCAGCCAGACAACCGCTCATGCAAGGCCAAGAACGGTGGGTGGGGCTGCCCCGTGGCCACGGAGCAGGGGACCTGCGGTGGAGTTCCCCAGGGAGCAATGCCTTAACAGTCCCAGCTGACCTTTCTGTCCCGTCTGCAGAGCCAGTAGATCGGCCTCCAGTGCTGCTGATCGCCAACTCCCAGAACATCCTCGCTACATACCTGAGTGGAGCCCAGGTGTCTACCGTCACACCCACCAGCACTCGACAGACCACAGCCATGGACTTCAGTTACGCCAATGAGACCGTATGCTGGGTGCACGTCGGGGACAGTGCTTCCCAGACACAACTCAAATGTGCCCGGATGCCTGGCTTGAAGGGCTTTGTGGACGAGCATACCATCAACATCTCCCTCAGCCTGCACCGTGAGTCGCCCATTCAGAGGGCAGGGGAGATGGGCAAGAGGGACCCTACTTGCAAAAATTAGGAAGAATGAGCCCTGCTCGGGTCAGGAGTCAATGAAGATGCCTCCCACAGAGGCTGAGACCGAGGGCTTGATGCTCTTTGTGGCAGCGGCAGAGCGATGGCTATTGTTCTGTTATACCCTGAGCTATCTCTAGCTGACTTTTGCATTTCTGGTTCAGGACTAAGGGAGGTCTCAGTGGAGAAGTGAAGGCTGAGAGGGCAATGAGTGGCCACTCTCCAGAGACCAGGGACTGTCCCTCTTTGAAAGAGGAGTGTGGCTTTAGACTACAAAGGGACTTTCCCATATAGCTGGGACTGGGGGAGAAAGCTAAGGATCTGGAGAAGGATGGGAGGAGGGTGTTAAGTAGCAGCGGGCAGAGGAGCCTGAGCCTGGCTTGCTCTGGGCTGTCCTGCAGTCCTCTTACCCCTAGGGGTACGGCCAGAGAGGACTTCCCACCGCTGGGTAGGTGCCAAGTCCCTGAGCCTGTTTCCGGTCCTTGGCAGTCAATGAGAATAAGGGAGGAGCCATGAGCAGCTTGAGCATTTAGGATATGCTGGCCATTCCCATTCAGGCTATCTGCCTACTCAGCTTCATTGTCCTACAGAGAAGAAGGGGCTCACAGGTGGGCTCACCTGGCTGCAGATCCACTCCAGTGTTGTTCCACAGACACACAAAAACTACTTCAGAGTCGACAGCTGGCAGAGTCACATTCCCCAAAAAGCCACACAGGGCTGAAGGGAAGGATCTGGCTGGCCTGTGGTTGATCTGCCTCAGCCCTCAGACGTAGCTGGATCTCTGACCGCCAGTAAACAAGAACTCCCTACCTCAACTTTGGTTCCTTACACTACATAATGGGCTCGTGCTATTCTGTCCAGGTCTGATAATTGAAGTGAAAGCTAGTGGCAAAGGAAGTACATAACTTAGGGTTGTGAACTTGGGATCCTCGTAGTTTTTGTTTTGTTTTTGCCAGTGCTGATGCTGAGCCCAGGGGCCTCACTGACAATGATAAGCATGTCTTGTGTGGCTGCTGTAGTCCCAGCACCTGTAGTAGATCTATACGTTCCTTTCTTCTGGGCCTGTGAGGCTCCCCACAGAAAGCAAAGGTCCACTGAGGTCATGAAGGGTCTAGTCTGAGTGCGGGACCTTTTGAGGCTGGCGGGGGGGATAGAGGAGCCCTGAGTGACTGTGGCCTCGGGATTCTACACAAACAGTTGCTCTGAAGCCGGGCGGTGGTGGTACACGTCTTTAATCCCAGCACTCGGGAGGCAGAGGCAGATGGATCTCTGTGAGTTCGAGGCCGGGCTGGACCGACAGCCTCCAAAACAATACAGAGAAACCCTGTCTTGTAAAACCAAACCAAAACAACAACAAAAAAAACAGTGGCTCTGGCTCCCATCACTATCAGTGTCTGAGGGTCCCCTGTGATTGGATGTGTGTCCTTCTGGAGAACTGGGTTGAAAGCTGCCAAGCACCTGAGGGGTGGGCGCTTGGGGGGAGCCCTACGTGGTGAGATTAGAGACGATGGCCCTGTTTGTGTTACTTGTCCACTGTCCCACTCAGCAGGCCTGCCCAGGCAAAGAGTCGTGGCAGCCTTTTCTCCAGGCTTGCCTTGGGGCCAGACCGCGGTAAACTGGGTAGGTGGCTGTGATTTGCCCTCGGGGAACCTTCTCCACTTCTGCTCTGGCCTGGTCCATCCTCCTGACTTCCTCCCTACAGAAGCAGGAAGTAACCTTGGGTAGATACCCCTCCTTTGGCAAACAGATTTGCCTTGCCTCCCTGGGCTTCCAAACTTTACTGGGCCTCTGGGGCAGAGTCCAGGGACCTGGAAGAGACCAAGGTTCTCGGGGAAAATACTCTGGGGGAGAACGATCAAGCGGGCTCCCTGTTCCCCAGCTTCTTTCCCTCCCTACCTCACCCCCACCCCCACTCCCGACGCCAGAATGTCTGGCTGTCACCATGAGGATGGTTGTTTGCTCTCATCCCACAAACTAATTATGGGCCCTGAGTTGAGGATGTCGGAAGTGTCTCTGTAACACCCTCCCCCCACTCCTAGTACATCCCCTTCCTCAGGAGGAGGCCTGCCCTGGGGTCAGGCTACTTCAGGGGCCCTGGGACACCTGTGAGCAGGGGGCTGCTGTCCTCTAATTAGCTCCCTGGAGGATGAAGGAAAAGTCTGTTACCTTGCGCCTTCCCAGTCCTCCACGGTATCTCTCCCTGCAATCTTCCTATCCTTCCCTGTGACTGGGACCTCTGTGAGATCCCTGGGGACATGCCTGAGGCCTGAGGCGGGATAGTGTGGGGACAGGGCGTCAGGAGGTTGGGGTGTATGTCCCAGGTCGAGAGGTGAGGAGCCAGTGAGGACAGCCTACTGGTGTGGGGAGATGGGCGAAGCCTGCCTCAGAGAGACCTCTGCAAACAGAAATAGAATGCAAAGAAGGAAGGAAGCCAGGAAGAGAGCCTGTTCACATGGGTCCCGAAGCATGGGGTCAGTCTGCTCTGCATCCTGAGAGCCTTCTCCCCTCAGAACGGGGCAGGCTGCTGACCGTGGTCCCACTGGGGTGGCTCCTCTCTTCTCCCACCTGAGCCACAGCCCGTACCCACCTTCTCTTCTGCCTAGTGAGCTGGGGGACCCGAGGTTTGACGAGGCAGGGAAAGCTGGGAAGAGAACTGGGAGTGCAGCTCGTGGCAGGCCCTGCATCCCGCCCCGTACTGAGGGAAAGAAAGGCTAGTGGGGTTAAAGTTAAGGACAGACAGATCGCTCCGACAAGCATCTCAATACAGCAAGATCCTTACTTCAAAAAACAATAAGGGAATTTTAAGAGCATCCAGTCACACCTCTAGGTAGATTGTGTTCCTTTCCGCATGTACAAGCTTTTAAAAAGTGTTGAAGGTTTTGAGTGTGTGTGTGTGTGTGTGTGTGTGTGTGTGTGTGTGTGTGTGTGTGTGGTGTGTGGGTATTCGGAAGTCTGATGACAACATGTAAGAGGAGAGCCCTTCCCTGTATGGGTCCTGGGGATCTAATTCAGGTAATCCGGTATACTGTTTTGTTACCCACTGAGCCATCTCACCAGCGTGTTAACAGGTTTTGTTTTGTATTTTTAAGAGAGGGTAGCCCAGGTTGACTTCCAACTTGTTATGCAGCTAAGGCCAGCCTTAAAGTGCTGATTCTTCCTGCCTCTAGCTCCCAGCTGTAAAGTTCAGCTTTGTAGTTATGTTCTTATCTGATGTTATCATTAGGAAATTCCTACACTTGATTTTATTTTATTTTTTTGGTGCGTGTATGTGTGTGTACTTGTGTGTATATGTATGTGTCTGCACCGTGCATGTAAAGGCTAGAAGTCAATGTTCCTCCATAGCTTTCTTTCTTTTTTTCCCCCTTTTTTGTTTTTTGACATAGGGTTTCTTTGTATTGCTTTAGAGCCTGTCCTGAAACTCACTCTGTAGACCAGATTGGCCTCAAACTCACAGAGATCCACCTGTCTCTGCCTCCTGAGTGCTGGGATTAAAGGCGTGCGTCACCATTGCCTGGCTTTACCTTATTTTTAAATTATTATAACACACGTGTGAGTGTTTTGCCTGTATGCGTGTCCATGCATACCCAAGGAAGCCAGAAAATGGCATCAAATCCCTTGGAACCTGAGTTCCAGACAGTTGTGAGTAGCCACCTAGGTACTGAACCCAGGACCTCTGGAGGAGTAACAGGTCCCCTTAGCCATTGAGCCATCTCTCCAACCCTACTCTCTGCCTTGTTTTTTTGAGGTAAGGTCTCAGTGGAGCTTGCAGGTTTGGCTAGACTGTCTGGCCAGCCCAGGGGGTCCTCCTGTTTCTGTCTCTCTGGTGCTAGGATTACAGGTGTGCACTGCTGGGACCACATTCTTAAAATGTTTTTAGACAAATCTTGCTGTGTATCCCTGGCTGACCTGGGATTTGACATATAGACCAGATTGGCCTTGGGCCCACAGCCGCCTGCCTCTGCCTCCTGAGTGCTGGGACTAAAGGTGCGTGCCACCACCGCTTCCAGCAACAGCTAGCTTTTTAAAATGAATGCTGGGAACAGAACTCAGGCCCTCATGCACGGGTGGCAAGCCCTTTGCTGACTGAACCATCTCTCCACTTCTAACTAATTTCTGAGATAGGAGTGCACTCTAGCCCAGGCTGGCTCAAACTCAGGATAATCCTCTCCCATCGGCCTTCCAAGTGCTGGGCTTCAAGTATGAACTACCATGTCCATGCTTTCAATCTATGATATATAAAATAGTGAGTAAATAATACTGTAAGCTACATACTCATACGCATACATATTTTGAAAGTGATGCATGAAAGACGATAGTTCTGAGACGGAGACCCAAGAGAGTCAACAGGGTTGGTGTTTCCAGAGCCCAGAAAGAGCCTTACTGTTCTGTGTCTTCTAGGGTACTCACTAGAAGGAGTAGTTCAGCCTAGTGCTCCCCCCACCCCTCTCCAGCTTAAATTCCTGTGCTGAAGGGCTCTGGTCTGCTCCATTTCACTCCTGAGGATGTCCCCACTGTAGGAAGGGTGAGAGTTTGAGACAGGTGAAGTGCAAATAGAGCCCCGGAAGGAGATAGCATCTGGTGAAGTTGTTTGGTGTTGAACTGTGTGCGACAAGGTAGTCTGGAGTGTTTGGGGGTCCCTGGGAGTCTCCTCCCAGGGCTTGCTTTGTGACATGGGAAGGCCCAGCAAAGGACCCATACACTGCAAGCACCAGGGTCGCAAAACAAATCCTCAGCTGGCCAACTTCCCTTTTCCCTCCCTCCTCTCTACCTTTTTTTAGGGGTAGGGTGGAGTGGGTGGGTGTGTTTTTAAAAATCACAAGAGGAAATGGAGTAGTGATTTTTCTAGAGTGGAGGCAAATAGACAAACAGCACCCCAGCCTGGGCCGGGTTTGGGATGGACTGAAAGGGGGGGAGTTGGGAGTCGTGTCGAGCACCCCACCCCCCTTTCTCTGTCCCACACTTTGTTTACAGAATACCTCAGAATCTGAGCAGCATGGCTTATACCTGTGGTCCCAACACTTTTTAGTACATTCCGGGCCTATGTGAGCTACAGAGTGAGACTCTACCAAAACAAACAAACAAACAAAAAACTACAAAAACTCCCAAAAGGAGCTTTTCCAGAGTCTCCATGTGAAGGCTTTCCCTCCGTTGGCCTTCCTGACTGCCCCAGGGTGTTGTGATGCTGGGAGGTCTAGCCTCCCTGTCCCTACCACCCCCACGCTGGCTCTGCAGCTTCTCCTTCCCTTTCCCGGTTTCCTAGTCCCTTTCCTTGCTCCTCCTCTCCTGGCCAGCACCAGCTCTGTGTCTCCGGGCCTACATCCAGTCTTGCCCTCTCCTCCCCCGCTGTCTCCTTGAAGTTGCTCCCAAGCCAGCCTACCCCCAGCTCTGTCCTCCCTGTTTGCAAGCCAAAGGAAGTAACTTAAGCAAGACAGACATTTCAGAGCCCAGTGAGAATTTCTCAATCATGCAGAGACCCTCAGTCAGGCAGAGCAGAATTCAGGCACTCGTCCATAGGATCCTGGCTTGGTGTCCAAGCCGGGGTAGGAAGAGTGTGCTCAGGGGATAAGTTACCCGTAAGTTCTGGATTCTCTGGTGGAACAAGGAAGAGCTGCAGTCAAGATTTGGTAACAAACAGGAACATGAGGCCATGTTATTTAGTAAAACCTGCCAGCCCTGCCTCACTGGCCAGATCCCTGAGTGGGATTGCAAACCGTCCTCTGCCAATGTCCTGGGGTATTCCAGGGCCAGAGAAGGGAAGGGAAATGATGTCCTGGCTCTAGGACAGCAGGGGAAAAACTCGGGAGTCAGTAAATATCTGTTAAACCGATCAATACATGTGTGTCTGGCACCAGGGAGGAAATGTAAAGATAGTGCCTGCTCTCCCGAAGTCTGTAGTCACGTGGAAGTCAAGCTTCTGGGGCCGCTGGAGCCTGTAAGGGAATTTAGCAGCCTGTAGGTGAAATTCCTCCCAGCACAGGAGAGCTCCTTTGTATAGGTGAAGCTTCTTCCTATAGAGAAGTTCCTCCTTGTAGGGAGAGCTCCTTCCAGTCAAGGTAGCGCCACTCTGTGAGGAAACTCCTTAGAGCAGTAGTTGTTGCACACACCCCTCCCCTCATCCTGTTACCACCGTTAGTCAGGAGGCCACAGGTTGATGGAGACTCCGGAAAGATTAGGTTAGGGAAGAGGGTGGTGTGGGAGGAGTACCGTGCATGGATGGAAACACATGTGCTGATTGTACCGTCCTGTCTCACTGATGAGAAACAAGTGTGGACTATAGCTCCAGTTGGGAGGTGACGGAGCCGAATTTCAGACCAGTGCAGAGAGCCCAGCAGAACCCAGGGCAGAACAGCAGAGTGTTGGAAGTAGGGTGGAGCAAATCAGAGTAAGGACCAGAATCCAGTGTAGTAGGGTTGTTTCGTCGCGGAAGGACTTGGTGTGTGCGCTGTAATCTTCGGGTGTACGCATGTGCTGGAGTTATTTTCGCAAGATAAAAAGGCCTCCATCCCACACCCACATTTCCTTCTTGTTTTAAAGAAAGTGGCTGGAGTCATGTAATTGAAGCTGGGGTCTTCTTGGGGTCCGCTGGGGCCGTGTTTCTGGGAAAGGAGCCACTGCTTAAGAAATAGCAGCTCTTGAGCAATGTGGATGATGGAGAAGTTCAGAAAAACTGGAGTTGTGTGTGCTGAGCCTCGGGGCTGGGGCTGCAGGGAGCTAAGCACTTCTGGACACTCACCCAGTCTATTCTAGGGCCTGGAACTGAAAGTCCGTTCTGATGACACAATCGGGCTGTGGTCTTCCTTTCTGACTCATTCACCCTCTCAGGTCCTACCCTCCCTTCGGTAGACCACCACCAGACCCTCCTTTAGCACGGGTACCTCCTTCTCCTCAGCTTCTCTGACCCTTGGGTTAGCAGCTCCTGTGGAGGGCAGGCCAGCCCTGTACAAGGCAACCTCTACTCTTCAGGAGCTACTGCTATGTCATTTTTGGTTTGGGTTAGTTTGGGTGGATGTGTGGTTGTCTTTTGTCAGCTGTTTGTTTAGATTTACTTGTTCATTTTTAACTTAGGTGTCTGTATATGGTCCTGCGTGAGCTCGTGTGTGTATGTGGGCCTGCGTGAGCTCGTGTGTGTATGTGGGCCTGTGTGAGCTCGTGTCTGTGTGTGCAGATGCCCTGGAGCTGGAGGCATAGACAGTTGTGAGCCACCTGATGCAGGCACTTGGAGCCACACCCAGGTGTTGGAGGAATGACAAGTGTGTAAGCACCGAGCCATCTCTCCGAGCCCCTGGTTGGTTTTTTGAGACAGTCTCGTGTCACCCCTACTGGCCTTGGAACTCAGTGTAGCCAAGACTGACCTTCAGCTTCTTACCTCCCTTCCTCCTCCTCCTCCTAAGTACTGGGATTACAAGTGTTTGTCACCGTGCCCAGCTTTCGCCATCTAGGTTTATGGAGTAGGAATCCTCAGCTCCTGTAGACACAAGCCCAGGGTTCTACCTGAACCCCAAGCTATAGCACCAAGGTCAGGACCCCTCATGGGCAGTGAGGAATGATAATCCCAATATGACCTCCTTTCTTTCTCTGCTTAGCTTTGGCGTAGTGGCCTGTGGCTGTCGGGGGTTGAGGAATCTGAACTTTAGGAGAGAGGAAAATAATGTGGTGGCGGTGGGGGTTGTATAACAAAGGAGTTTGCTTACAACTAATAATCTCCAGCTGCAAAAATACCAAAGGAGAGGCCAGGCTGGCCGGCGATATCATTTCTCGCCAGCTCCTCTCTCTCCTCCTCATGCTGCAAGGGGCCATGCTTGGCCTTGGGGAGGTGAAGGGAGCCCAGCCAAGGGCAAGTCTCTGAGAGCAGGGACTTCGACTACCCTTCTTTCCCAGAAGTGGGAGGGGCTGTCACTCAGGCAGGTCACCCCGTCTTGAGGCTTGGACAGAGCATAGGGCTGCACTGGGGAGCAGGGCATCAGATCTCTGTAGGGCTCTTCTTGTCCCCTCTTGCCAAGGGTGGATTGGGGAGCAGGGCCAGGGTGTTGCCAGTCCTAGGGCTGGGCAGTGACTCAGGAAGCCTGAGGAAGTTGGAGAGAAGGCCATCTGTGCCAGCTGGTGCTGGGAAAACAAGAATTGACTGATGAATTTTGCATACATGCCAGCGGCCCCCAGACCCCTGCAGTGCCCACCAAGTAAAGGGCACACAACCCTGTTGATTTTTAGCTGCCCTGCTGACTGTGTGGGGCTACAGAAAGGTCCCTACTTTGGGACTTCAGTTTCCTTTGGAGGTGGCCCAAGGGTTTCATTTTAATCTGGTTTCTCTGTGGTAACCGTGCGTGGGGCAGCTTGGTTGCCTTAACTCTTACTCTGAGCTTTCCTCCTCTGTGGCCTTGTCCTCCTCATCTCCTTTGCCCCACTCCCCAAGAGGGGACAGTCTGGGGAGCTCAGAGGACAGAGTAGCTAGGCTTGGGAATGTGTTAGCACTTGTCGGGATAATAACCTCATCCCTGTGACCTATTTCTCCAGTCGTCTCAGGGTGGGGTTTACCAGAGGGGCCTGAAGAGGAAAGCATTTATGAGAGCCTCCTGTGACTACTCTCCCTTCCCCCCTCCTCTGGCCTCAGTCCTGTGACAATGAGTCAGTGACCCTGGACAGACAACTTCCCTGGATTCTATTCCTTTTACCCCCTCCCACTATTAAGAAATAACCCCTAGATTCTTGTGGAGAAGAAGGGGGGTTGGGGAGTAGTTGAGCAGAGCCCATGGTTATACCTGTAGCTGTGAGGCCGAGAAACCCCTGTGGGCTGAGTGTGGGACAGTGCCTGATAAACTTCCGCCAAAGGCATGTATCAGAAAGGTGGCTTTACCTGTTGTTGAAATAGAGCAGATAAATGTCTGCCTTGGGAATTTACAGGTTTGGAGAGGCATTACTTCTGAGGGTGGCATCAGTGGGGGCATGGAACCAGGGCATGCTGGCATGAGGCCAGCAGCTGTCCTGGCCTCATCCCACCCCCTCCTGTGGCCCCCCACGGCTTAGAGTGGTCGCAGCAGCCGCTCTGCTCCTGCTCCCTTTCTCCTGGTTTATCCCCGGTGTCTCCACCTTCCTCCTGGACTCTCTGTCCCCCATTTCCTATTCTTCTCTGCTTCCCTGGGGTATGAGGAAATTCAGCAATAAGAACATGGAAGAAACAGGGACGCGAGGGGACGTTAGACTCACATTATTAATTCCCAACCTTGTGCCACCAATTTTGTGTCGTGCTGTGTGGGCTTAATATTTTGAAATACTTTTCTCTAAGCTGGGTTCATTTCTGAACATTCTGCTTTTCAGTTTTGTTTTGTTTTTAACTTATGCAATGTGTTCAGCTTCCAGTCAGTACTTATATATTGCGAATGTAGGTCTGGCCCAAACCAAAGGTGTGTGCTGCGCTGTTTAGGTAGTTAGGGTGCTCTTATCTCAGGTAAAAGCAAAGGCTGAGGTGGTAGGTCTATTCTCCCGCCTTTCGGCATGACAAGAGAGCTCTTCCCTGTTGCAGGCAGGATTAGAATTGGAATAGCCCGTCAGTCAGCCAGTGTTTACCTAATCCCTCCTGCTTGTGACAACCCTGAGTCTGGGTTGGGGGCTGGGGGCTGAGTGTATTCGGAGACTTCTATTTGGAGAGACCAGGTACTTGGGAACTCTTTGTGTAGCAAGGTGTGACTCTGCGGATGACACCCAGAGGCGCTCCGGGGAAGGTGATGGCCGCTGACTGGGGGAGGATTAGGCCCCGGGGAGGGCGAGCTCAGAGGAGGCATGGGTGCCTGTGGGAGGGCCTAGCCACAGTGCTCTTCCATTCATTCCGCAGACGTGGAGCAGATGGCCATCGACTGGCTCACGGGAAACTTCTACTTTGTGGATGACATTGACGATAGGATCTTTGTCTGTAATGGAAATGGGGACACCTGTGTCACTCTGCTAGACCTGGAACTCTACAATCCCAAAGGCATCGCCCTGGACCCTGCCATGGGGTGAGAGCGGCAGGCCAGGCCTCTGATCCTGGAAGGAGAGGGGTCCCGGTGCCCGCAATCTACTTAACGTGTGTGCACCCACAGGAAGGTGTTCTTCACCGACTACGGGCAGATCCCAAAGGTGGAACGCTGTGACATGGATGGGCAGAACCGCACCAAGCTGGTCGATAGCAAGATCGTATTCCCGCATGGCATCACCCTGGACCTTGTCAGCCGCCTGGTCTACTGGGCGGATGCCTACCTAGACTACATTGAGGTGGTAGACTATGAGGGCAAGGGCCGGCAGACCATCATCCAAGGCATCCTGGTGAGGGAACTTTTGTCTGGGGGGACCATTAACCAGAGTTATCTGGTGGGGGGTAGTCCTTTGTTGGGGAACTGATCTCTAGGACTCCCAGTAAATGTGGACAGTATGGGAGTGAGCATAGTCAACTCTGTCTTTGGTGGGAGTGGAGCCAGTAGGAATGTGTCAAAGAGGAGGATATGGCTTCCATTCTGACAGTCCCTCAGAGGCACCTTTTACTTCCTTGTTCTTATTTCATGCTTAAAATAGCCCCTGGAGATGAGCAGGCAGTTGACAAAAGTGGGGTTCAGAGATGTTTGGTGATTTGCCAGAGGTTACACAACTGGGCGGCGGCAGCGCTTGATCCCAGCCAGGAGGTCTTGCCACTCGCTAGGCTTGGCAGTAGAACATCCATTCTGGAGTAACTTTCGTGAGCTGCTGTCCCTGGGCTTTGTCTGGAACTCTTCTTGTTTTTAACCTTGGAAGTCTCACAGACCAGCAAACTCTGGTCTTGGGCAAATTGAAGCAACTGGCCACTGTAGGCTTTCTTGGGACACAAGTGTATATACTTGGTCCCCCCCAAAATCTACGTCAAGCTGCGTTGTCCACAGAGGTTAGGGCCTGAGTCTAACGCAGCTGAAAATTGTCAAAGCGTCTACAGGAAGTTTAATTCTGTGAAGGACACTTTTTCCTGCCCTCAGTAGGTGGAACGGTTCACTAATCAGCACGCCAGGTGCTGCATAGCAGTGTCACCATAGAGGCAGAATGTAGGGGGGGATAACATCTCTTAGGAAGGTCCAGAAATTCTTTAAAGAGGTGCTTTGTGAAGGATGACAAACAGAGGAATCAAGAACTTAGCGCTGGGCTAAATAAAACTGGAAGGTGAACTCGGGAAAGTGGATTGTAGAGTTTGGGTGGAAGCCACAGGCCTATTAGACAAAGGAAACATCCCTTTTGTCTTGGTGACCAACCCCGCCTGCCCTCCCAGATTGAGCACCTGTATGGCTTGACTGTGTTTGAGAACTACCTGTACGCCACCAACTCAGACAACGCCAACACCCAGCAGAAGACCAGTGTGATCCGAGTGAACCGTTTCAACAGCACTGAGTACCAGGTTGTCACCCGAGTGGATAAGGGTGGCGCCCTGCACATCTACCACCAGAGACGGCAGCCCCGAGGTAAGCCCGTCCCACGGCCCCTCCAAAGTTGGCTTCACCCTGACGGGATTCCAGGCGTGGGATCCCAGTTCTTCTAGGAAACTGTTGTTTTTTTCTTTATGGTTTTTTGAAACGGGGTTTCTCAGTATAGCCTTGGCTGTCCTGGAACTCCTCACTCTGTAGACCAGGCTGGCCTCAAACTCAGAGATCCACCTGCCTCTGCCTTCTAAGTGATGGGACTAAAGGCGCGCGCCACCGCCGCCCAGTGGGAGCTGTTACTCTTTCATATCGAGAGTGCTTCTAGGCACCGGCTCCCGAGCTGCCGGTCCTGACTTTCTCTCTCATGGGTGTGCCTGCCTTTCCATGCTCCCAGATCCCTTGTGTCTGAGGCTCAGTTGTGGCCAGCTTTAGTCCTGTGGCTTCCAAATTCTAAAATGCAATCAGAACAAAGACCCACTCCGATGGCCTGAGCAGGGCCTCGAGGGTGCTGACAGCTCTCCACTCTGCCCCTAGTGCGGAGTCACGCCTGTGAGAATGACCAGTATGGGAAGCCAGGAGGCTGCTCTGACATCTGCCTGCTGGCCAACAGCCACAAGGCGAGGACCTGCAGGTGCCGGTCTGGCTTCAGCCTGGGAAGTGACGGGAAGTCCTGCAAGAGTGAGTGACAAGTGACGGGAGGGTTGGGCAGGTCGGCCTGCTACGTGTGGGGTGGGTGGGTCCTCAGATGTCCCCCACAGCCCACGGCCTCTGTCGGATGCAGGGGGCAAGGAGCCCACATCCCAGAGTGGTGCTATTCCTACCGCCCACCCGTTCGCTCATGAGTATCTGACACACGCTGGATGTTTGACACTCTTCTGGCAATGAAGGGTGTGTGAGGACAATAAAACCAGAGTTATGACAGTGAGAGCCTCTCTGAGGATGTCCTATCTAAGCCCAGCTCTCTGTGGATGAAGTAAGGCAGCCATATGATTTACCTGAGAGACGAGAGTTTCTAGAGGGAGGAACTTAGAGGACAAAGGTCCTGAGGCCAGCGTAGGGCGTCGGGTGCCGAGACCAGTGGGGCCCAATGGGGTAAGTGAAGAGAGGTGCTCCTCACTGGAGTGAGGCTGCTGTGGAGAGATGGCGTGGTTGGGCTCATACTGTATAAGCTTATTTGGTGCTGGGCAGAGGCTGGGTAGCAGGGAGGGAGCTAGGCGGCTATTTTTGTGGCCTGGGTAAGAGTGATGTGGTTTAGGCTAGGATGGTGGTAGAGGAAATGGTGGAGAGTGACCAGATTCCAACATATTATGAAAGTCCTCCTTTTAGGTCCCAGGTTTCACTACTGAATAGCGGATGTTAAAGTGACAACGAGCCTCCCTTCTTCAGCTTCCCATCCCACATGTCAAACCCCCAGGCACGGTTGTCCTAGGACTGGAGTTGAGCATGTTATCCTGTGTGCTCTTTGACTCAAAGCCCTGTCTGCTCCTGACCCAGCACAGCCAGCACATTGTAGCTCCTCAGACCCAGATTCCAAGTTTGGTGGTGACTGTGTGTGCGTGAGTGTGCATGTGTGCGTGAGTGTGCGTGCGTGTAACTTTGTGCCCCTTGTGCCTGCCTTAGAGCCTGAGCATGAACTGTTCCTCGTGTATGGCAAGGGCCGGCCAGGCATCATCAGAGGCATGGATATGGGGGCCAAGGTCCCAGATGAGCACATGATCCCCATTGAGAACCTTATGAATCCGCGGGCTCTGGACTTCCACGCCGAAACTGGCTTCATCTACTTTGCCGACACCACCAGCTACCTCATTGGCCGCCAGAAAATTGATGGCACTGAGCGGGAGACCATCCTGAAGGACGGTAAGGCGTCAGAAGTGGGAGGTGTGTGGGTAGCGCTCCTGAGCGATGTGGCGCCTGGAAAAGACATCAGAGGCTGAGACATCTCCCTCACAGCGTGAAGAGTCCTCTGCTGACTGGCTGGCTGGGCCGGTTGGCATGGAGATGAGGGGATAGACAGGTTGACCCTTGCATGACCTCCTTCTTGGCTGCGCCAAAAAGAGTCAAGAGGATGGTGGGTTACGCAGTGTGGGCCGCCTTTGCCAGCCCTCGGGAAAATGTAGGGTCTCTCCGCCATTGGCTCAGAGCCCTGGAGCTGTGTGCAGCATGCAGCCAGGAGAAGCCTGAGGCTCTGAATCAGAGCTGGGCCTGCCAGCCCACAAGTGTACATGCACACAGTATGCTGTGTGCAGCTGGGCCTGGGGCCACGGGAACCTACACCCTTGCATGGCCTGACAAAACCCTGTCCTGCTAGTTACACCCCGGCTCTCTCTCTGACCTACTTTGACAGGGCTGCCATGGAGTATCATCAGGGCTGTCCCCACAGAGGCTTCAGGGCTGTGTGTGTTTTGCCTCAGATCTGTACTCTGGGGCCCCCGGGATCTGGTTCCCTAAGCAGTCGGTCTGGCTGATTGATGCCAGCCACCGCCCTGCACCTTGCTCCCCGTACTCCACGCGACCCAGAGAACCTCAGCAGTCAGCAGTCATAAGACTGTGTGGAAGTCAGAAGTAACCCCTGGTCAACAAAAGGTTGGGGTTCCCTTTGCCAGGGGAACTGCTGTTTAGGGGATACTTAAGATGCAGCCTTTGGCTAAGGGAAAAGTCACTTCCTAATTTATTCATTTTGTGAGCTCAGGGATTTCAGGCCTAGGACGTGGCATCACACTTGTTTATGCAGCCAGTGCGTATTGCCTCGGCTGTCTGCCTAAGCACAGGCCCAGACAGGCCCTCACCCGGGAGCCTGCATCAGCATCAGCCCCAGCGTCATTACCTGGCCGCCCCATGCTGTTGTCACAGGCTGACTAAACACGTGTGGCCTCCCAGACGGTCCCTCCCCAGCCTCTCTCCCCCATCTACCCTCCCTGCGTAGCCGCCCGCCCCCACCCCTGCTTCATGTGTCCTTTAAGGGTTGCCCTCATGGCTCCCCCCCCCCAGGCATTCACAATGTGGAGGGCGTAGCTGTGGACTGGATGGGAAACAACCTTTACTGGACTGATGACGGCCCCAAGAAGACCATTAGTGTGGCCAGGCTGGAGAAAGCTGCCCAGACTAGAAAGACTCTAATCGAGGGCAAGATGGCACACCCCAGGGCCATTGTAGTGGATCCTCTCAACGGGTGAGTCTGCCCTGGCCTTGGGTTGAGGGGAGTGGGAACTTGTGCCTCAGAGAAGACCTAGGAGGGAAATGAAGCGCCGGGTGGGCCACGGCGGGGTCAGGTAGGCCACTGTTGCTGGAGTTCCGCCCAGTTCTGCACCACCTTGCCCCAAATAAACACACGGATGGGCGCTATCTTAGTTATTAAACTGTTGGCCAGTGGCTAGGGCTTCTTATTGGCTAACTCGGCCTTTTTTTTTTTTTTTTTTTTTTTTTTTTGGTTTTACGAGACAGTGTTTCTCTGTATTGTTTTGGAGGCTATCGGTTCAGCCAGGCTTGAACTCACAGAGATCCAACTGCCTCTGCCTACTGAGTGCTGGGATTAAAGGCGTGGCCACCACCGCCCAGCAGGCTAACTCTGTCTTAATTATTAATCCATTTCTATTATCTATGGTCTTGGCTTACCGGAGAACACCTTGGCGTCCTCTCTTCCCAGGCTCTTCTAGACTCTGTCTGCCTACATTTCCCATAATTTTCCTCCTCTGGCAGCCCTGCCTATTTCCCTGCCTCTATGGGCCACAGTGTTTTATTCATCAACCAATAAGAGAGACGTACAGAAGGACTTCCCCCACCAGGCCACTGAAGAGGGAATGGGAGCCTGAAAAAGAAAACAGGTGTCTGTCCATCTTAAGGGTAGAGAAGGAAACTGTGACATGTACCTGGACGTCTGCCTGTCCAGTGTGTGTGTCCACGGCTTCCCATACCCAGCCATCCTCTCCTGTTATGTGCTGCCTGGAACACCAGGGACCAGCAGATTTAGTTTCTCACCAGCATCGAGTCTGAGTCGCGGAGAAGCTGTCCTCGCCCTTTCTTTACCACCTGGCTTCTCTCCACCCTCCTCACTTAATTTCCTTCTGATTTTGTCACTCTGCTACAACCTTCTTGAGCGACTTGTTTCTTGAGGGGTGGGGACCTTGGGCAACTTTGGCCGCTGCCAGACACTTGCCCAGCTACTGTAGACACTCATCAGGTGTTGGTTGGACAGAGGCCAGAATAAGTGCAACCTGTGGTTCAGAGGTGAGCAGCTCAGGGAGACCCCTGGGAGGAATTCTGGATGCCACCTAATGATCAGACTCACAAGAGAGGCTGTTGATGACAAGGATGGCGCATGTGGTGCTGACCAGTCACTGCCCACAGGTGGATGTACTGGACAGACTGGGAGGAAGACCCCAAGGACAGCCGGCGAGGGCGGCTGGAGAGGGCTTGGATGGACGGCTCACACCGAGATATCTTTGTCACCTCCAAGACAGTGCTTTGGCCCAATGGGCTAAGCCTGGATATTCCGGCTGGGCGCCTCTACTGGGTTGATGCCTTCTATGACCGAATCGAGACCATACTACTCAATGGCACAGACCGGAAGGTGGGCAGGCATGTGTGCATTGCTGAACCCTGTTTCTACGCAGGAAACTCCATGAGTGTGGATGTCTGTGTGTCCAGGCCCGTGTGGCGCTTCTGTGTTTACTCGTGGCTCTGTAAGTGTGTGCACCTGTGTGTTTGTGTATCGTGTGGGTTGTCTTGTGGATCTGAGGGTGTCTGTCTGCATCTGACCTCTCACTTTCACACCTATGCATGCGCCCCTGCTCTTGCACACACGTGCACAACATACTTTGGTGCAGTCGGCTCCACAGTGTGAGGCGCCTGGGGCAGCATAGATGCATGCTTGTTCACTTGTGGTTTTGTATTTTAGGAGTTGTGTTTGTGTTTAGGTGTGGACCAAACTCCTCCTACTCTCCACATCCCAACCCTCTTTGAACAAGCAACACTAGAGACAATTGGCGATTCCTAGCACACACCATAAGACCTCTGCTCCTTAGCCTTTGCTTCCCGGTTCCTCTTCCCCCAGCTTACCCACATACGCCCTCCACGAGACAATGTGTACTCAAGAGCAAATCTGTTCTTAGTACCCATCACAGTGTGGCCCTTAACAGATCCCCAAAAATGCTTATTAGGTGAAGAAATGAATGGCTGAATACTAACTAGCTGGTGTGTGTGTATGTGTGTGTGTGTGTGTGTGTGTGTGTGTGTTGTGCACGATGTGCTGTGTTTATGCTCTGTGGGAGGTGTATGGGTATGTGCTGTGTTGTGTGTGTGTGTGTGTGTGTGTGTGTGTGTGTGTGTGTGTTTGGGAGCCATAATGGAGTATGAATGATCCCATATGAGGACAGTATGCACAGTCCTTTTTGTCACCTGGAGGAGTCAGTATTACCAGGTCCCCTCATCTCAGAAACATCCCCTCCACTCCTAGATTGTATACGAGGGTCCTGAACTGAATCATGCCTTTGGCCTGTGTCACCATGGCAACTTCCTCTTTTGGACTGAGTATCGGAGTGGCAGTGTCTACCGCTTGGAACGGGGTGCAGCAGGGGCACCCCCAACAGTGACCCTTCTGCGCAGCGAACGACCACCTATCTTTGAGATCCGAATGTATGACGCTCAGCAGCAGCAAGGTACTCGCTTGGTATAGGCTGGGGACAGCGGTCGGTAGCATGGGACCCTAGGCTCTGATACCTAAGCCTTCTGAGAATTCCTCTGACTCTGTTCCCCATTCTCTTCTTGTCCCATGACTGTGTTCTCTCTCTTTCAACAAGCTGTTCCTCTCCTGACTCCCTCTTATATTCCCACGGTTTTTATGCATCCTTTCCTAACTCTGCTGCCCGGTCCCTGTCCTCCCCTCTCCTGCAGTGGGTACCAACAAATGCCGGGTAAATAATGGAGGCTGCAGCAGCCTGTGCCTCGCCACCCCAGGGAGCCGCCAGTGTGCCTGTGCTGAGGACCAGGTGCTGGATACAGACGGTGTCACTTGCTTGGGTATGAGGGACCTGGCTGACAAGGATGGGAAGGGTGGCCCCAGCAGGAAAGCGCTCTGGTCTCAGTCTGAGATTAAGGAGGAAAGAGGGCCCGGTGGGGCTGACAGGAAGCAAGGGGTGGGATTCAGGGAAGGCTCTGGGGTAAAGGCAGATTGGGGGTGGAGACTTGACAGCTTGAAGATCAGGGCAAATGAATGAGGAACCAGGCGACTGTAGAAGGAGGAAGCTGTTCTAACTCCTTTAGCTTTATTCACCATTGCCACAGTAAAATTCAAAATATCGCAGGCTGGGTATGGCAGTGCAGAGATTTAATCCCAGCACTTGGGAGGCAGAGGCAGGAGGATCTCTGTGAGTTCCAGGCCAGCCTGGTATACAGAGAGAGTTCCAGGGCTGCATAATGAAACCCTGTCTTTAAAAAAAAAAAGGCAAAAGCAAAACCAATAAAACATTGTAAATTAGCTAGGTAAGGTGTCCATACCTGTAACCCAGCACTGGGAAACTGAGGCAGGAGGATTGCAAGGTCCAGGCCAGCATGGAGACCCTATCTCAAAAACAAACTTTAAAAAGGAAACTAGGAGAGCGGTGACCACCTCTATATTGCTGTAAGTCACACAGGTTGGTGTGTGTCCATACATCTGCCTCTTTAGGCTTTTATCTGGCACAGAATTCTCTGTGCTACCTTTATTGATTTATTCTAAAGTGCTGGGGAATCAATCCGCTGCCTCATATACACTAGATAACCACTCTATAATGGAGATACTCCCTCAACCCCTCACGTTCCTCATTTTATTTGTTTTTATTTTACGTGTACGTGTGTATGTCTGTGTACCATGCACATGCGTGCCCACGTGGCCAGAAAAGGGCATCAGATCCCCTGGAGCTGGAGTTACAGAGGGTCGCCCGCCAGCCACCGTGCGGGGGCTGGCGATAGAGCCTGGGTCAGCGCTCTTGACTGCTGAACCCCTCTCCAGCCCCCACGCCCATGGTTTTAGATAGCCGCGCTTTCCCAGTGCGAACAGGGTCTGGTAAGGGTTGGGTCCGGCTCTCAGTGTCACACGCACAACTGAGATTAGATTGACAGTGCTCATGACAGAAATGAATAAGCATGCAGTATAGCAAAATACAAAGAAGGGTGCACAAACCGTGCCCTGGATGTCATCTTCCCTGGATGTCACCTTAGGGGGCATCCTCCCAAACATTTTTCTAAACACGTCTATGTAGAGGGAGTCATGCTGCATACGCTCTGCCGTCTCCTGCTTCTGTCGCTTGGCAGTGTGTCATGAATACATAAGGGGCATTTTTAATGGCCCAACTGTACCACTTAGTAAATGTCCCATCATTTACTCAACGGTTTCTCTACTGCTGTAGAGAACAACCTCTACAGTTTGCGGCCGTCTTGAGTTTTGTTTTTTTATGATCACATATTCACTGAGCATAGACTATGTGTGTTTTAAGCATTTCCCATGTAGTAACTTAAGTATTCCCTAAACCGTCTCTTTGGGGGTAGCATTTTTATTATCCCTATTTACAAGTGAAGAAATCAAGGCCCAAGTTAGCACAGGCAGTCCGACCTGAAAGTCCGACTCCAGAGCCCGTTTCTTAAAATCCTTTCTGCCTTCCTTACCTACTTACTCTTTCCTGTAGCTGGAATACTTTTCTTGTCACAGTGTCAGGAGTGAAAAGGGGGTCAGTAGCTGGGTGTGGTGGTGCACACCTTCAATCCCAGCACTGGGGAGGCAGAGGTAGGCAGATCTCTGTGAGTTTCAGGCCAGCCTGGTCTACAGAGAGAGTTCCAAGTCAGTCAAGGCTGCATAGTGAGAGCTTCTCTCAAATACAAAAAAACAAAAAACAAAAAGAAAAAAGTGAAATTGGTCAGGAGAGATGTAGCCGAGAGCAAGGCTGAGGTCAGTGGTGACTGAGCATGTTGGCAGGGACTGTGGAACTGAGAGGGCCTAGGGTAACGATCGTCTTTGTGACATTGACATCATTAAGAGTGGAGGCAGGAATGGTCAGAGAGAAAGTGACACTGGACCAGGGGCAGAGAGAGCGTCCTCAACCATGACGGGGAGTGACCTGAGAAGGTCAACACTGACTTCTAGGAAGACTGGGGAAGAGTAGCCAAGAAGCACTCTGTGGAGAAAAGAGCACATACACCAACTTCTAGACCCAGTGGTCCACGGAGCAGAGGCGAGAGACTCGGTCACCCCTGGGACCCTGGAGAAGTTTTAGAAATATGCTGAGAAGGGGCAGTGCAAAGCTCAGGGCAGCTGACAGTGCAGTCTGGCCTCCAGGCTACCAGTGGCATCGGCAAAGGCCTGCTTAGATGCCGAGGCGCACAGTGATGGCGAGGTGTCCCTGTTGGGGTCAGGGCAGGGGGAGCATGAGGTCTGTCCTCACTCCTGCAGTGCCGAAGATGGATTTGTGAAAGAGAGAATCCAGGACAGGACCTTGGGGGCCCCGAGATGACTCCTAGGAGCAGCTGAGGAGTCAGCAATGGACCACACAAATCTCTGATGCGCAGAGATGGGTTCTCCTGAAAGCTGTTTCATTCTCAGACTGCAGGCAGATACAGAAACCGCCATGTGCTGCCTGAGAAAGAGTTACCGCTTGTAACAAAATAATTTGCTCATGGAGAATTATGTTCTAGGGGGAAATTTTACTCTGTATGTTATCAAAAACAACAAATCACAAGAGAAGTAAGGGAATCTTAGCGCCTGTCCCGTGGCCCGGGCCTAACCGTCCCCCTCACACTCCTGTGGTGCCCACAGCGAACCCATCCTACGTGCCCCCACCCCAGTGCCAGCCGGGCGAGTTTGCCTGTGCCAACAGCCGCTGCATCCAGGAGCGCTGGAAGTGCGACGGAGACAACGACTGTCTGGACAACAGTGACGAGGCCCCTGCGCTGTGCCGTGAGTCACCCCGTCCACCCCGGTGGCCGGGCAGCGAGGCTCTGCCGCCACCCGAGCCACCGCACTGACCCTGACCTGCTTCCCCTCCCAGATCAACACACCTGTCCCTCGGACCGGTTCAAGTGCGAGAACAACCGCTGCATCCCCAACCGCTGGCTCTGCGATGGGGATAACGACTGCGGGAACAGTGAGGACGAATCCAACGCCACCTGTTCAGGTGTGGAGGGGGGGCCAGGTCTGGGGAGACAGAGAAGCATCAGGGAAGGAAAGGAAAGTGTCTATGAGCCCAGAGCAGAGGGAAGGGGCCCTGCGCAGGAGGTGGGGCCTACTGCTCCCTGCCGGGATGGACAGCCCGACAGAGCTGGGTTTACAGGCAGACAGGTGCGGATGGAGATGAGAAATGCGGCAGAACCTCTTCCCAAAGATCCAGAGATCCCTTGGGAGGTGGCGTCAGGCACCAGTGTGATTTGGGACACAGGCACAGGAATAGGAGATGATGGGGGAGGGGGCCGTGAAGGGATTGGATAATGCTTACACCTGACCCCCCCTCACCCCCCCCCCAGCTCGCACCTGCCCACCCAACCAGTTCTCCTGTGCCAGCGGCCGCTGCATCCCTATCTCTTGGACCTGCGATCTGGATGATGACTGTGGGGACCGTTCCGATGAGTCAGCCTCATGTGGTAAGAGGGACGGCGGGGAAGCCAGGCTGGCCGCAGGGAGGGGCAGCTCGTGGGTGGGGACAGGAGAACCCGGTGCGCCTACCTGGTAGCCTTGAGCAAGTTATCTCAAGATGAGTCTTGTCTGCAGCAGGGATCTAACAACAGCACTGATGGGCGAGCGGGGCAGTGCCTGTGTCGGTACCTAGCAGGGGTGAATAAGCAGTTTCCTGGTGAAGCCTGTCACCCCCATATGGCTAGGGGCTCCTCCTTATGTACAGGTCCCCTTCACCACCTGCTCAGAGTTGAGAAGGTGTGACTTTGAGGGCCCCACTCAACGGTTCCTTCTCCCTGACAGCCTACCCCACCTGCTTCCCCCTGACTCAGTTTACCTGCAACAATGGCAGATGCATCAACATCAACTGGCGATGTGACAATGGTAAGCTCCTCCCTTTCGCCGAAGTTCCCAGGAGAGGACCACAGGTCACTGCCAGACCCCAGATGGAGAAGGGCGAGGTCTTAGACTCAAGCCAGGGCTCTCTGCAGGGCCCTGAAGCCCTGAGGATTGACTAGGAGAAAAGAGGAGGGGCCCGAAGTCCTGCGGGGGCACCAGGGTGGGCAGAAGGAAGGCCGTCCCTGCCTCAGCAGGGGAGAGCTGCCCATCCTCTGGCAGGATGCAAGGATTGAGGGCAGTTGAGTGAGGATTAGAGGGCCATCCCCCTTCCCCCTGTATCCCCTCTCTGCCGGGGTCCTTATTGCCTGCCCCAGGCCCTGGGCTGCAGTCTTGGAAGCATACCTGGAGGTCAGCCTTGGACCAGGTGATGTCGGCCCTGAGCCAAGGGGACCACAGTGGATAAACACACGTGCAAGCGATTGTTGTGTGTGCTGCTTTGGGCTCTGTCCTGTCCTGTCTGGTGCTCGGAGCGGTGCGTGGTGCGGTGCGGAGTGTGGTATGGTGCGGTGTGGGGTGATGCGGTGCTGGGTGCGGTGCGGTGCTGTGCGGTGCCGTGTGGTGCGGTGCCGTGCGGTGCTGGGTGCGGTGCGGTGCTGTGCGGTGCCGTGTGGTGCGGTGCCGTGCGGTGCTGGGTGCGGTGCGGTGCGGAGTGTGGTGTGGGGTGATGCGGTGCTGGGTGCGGTGCGGTGCTGGGTGCGGTGCGGTGCCGTGTGGTGCGGTGCCGTGCGGTGCTGGGTGCGGTGCGGTGCATGGTGCGGTGCGGAGTGTGGTGTGGTGCGGTGTGGGGTGATGTGGTGCCGTGCGGTGCTGGGTGCGGTGCGGTGCATGGTGTGGTGCGGTGGTGTCCTTGCTGCCCCTGTGGCTCTAGCCCTGGCTCACATGTGAAGATGGATGGGTTGGGTCAGTGCCATGTTACCCTCCTCCTTGTCGTGTCTCGAGTGCCAATGGCCGCCCTGGCGGTTTCTGTGTTTCAGAGAAGGATTGTGGGGACGGCTCTGACGAAAAGACCTGTCCTGAGCCTGCCGGTCAGTGCATAGAAACACATGCACCATCACCCCAGGACCCTACCAGCCTCAGTTTCCCTAAGCCCCTAGGCTCCCTGGCCCAGAGCTGTCTGGACACACGCAGACAAAAGCAGCAGGGACAGGAGTGGAAATCACAGGGACAAAGTGGCAGAGAGGGCGGGGTGGGGGTGCAGTTCAGAGGAGAGGAAGTGCTGGGTGACACTGAGGAAGCTGACCCTGGGGAGGAAACGCGGTCCAGTCAGAAGGGCAGGAGTGTACTCCAAGAGCCTGGCCAACTTGTCTCTGAGTCCTGTCAGTGCTCAGGAGGCAGGATGTTCATCCAGACACCGACTTCAGGATCCCCCAGCCTCAGCTCTAGGCAGAGCCCCGGGAGTCAGCACCCAGTGCCCGTGTCTGGCCGTGTCCAAGCTCAGGGTGTGGTTAGATAAAGGCTTCTCCAGCCAGCAAGCTCTTAACCTACATTCTGCCTTCCTTTCTCTCCCAAGCCAGAGGAGCCTCTGCCCCTCAGAAGTGAACGATCCCCACACTGTGCTGCCAAGGACGTCCCCACCCCATAGCTTTCTGAGACTCAAGGGAAGGGCCTCCTAGAGCCCGCCCCCCTGCCCTCCCCACCCTGTGGGCCATGGTGCATGTTGCGGTCTATGCAGTTTCTGTGACTTTTCTGTTTGTTGTTTTCTCAGCGGGGGTGGGGCGGGCTGTGGGTGGGAACGAGGGGTCACACAGAAGGTGGCTCTGCTGACCCCATCTTCCACTCTCCCCCTCCCCCCACCCCAGACAATGACTGTGGGGACAACAGCGATGAAGCCGGCTGCAGCCACTCCTGCTCCAGCACCCAGTTCAAGTGCAACAGCGGCCGCTGCATCCCCGAACACTGGACCTGTGATGGGGATAACGACTGTGGGGACTACAGCGACGAGACGCACGCCAACTGCACCAACCAGGGTGAGCCCTCGGCGCTGGCACCCAGTGCAGCCACCACCCGGGAGCTCCGACATGTCTGAGGAGGCTCCAGCCCCACAGGGAAGAACAGATTGCTGGCAAATCGGTGCCACACACTGTAAAGATTGAGGGCCTGGCCGCTGGGTGGCCTTAGGTTTCAGCTGTAGCTCTGCAGCTTGTTATCTGCGTGGCCTTGGGCAAGTCGCTTAATCTCTGCGGGCCTCTGGGGTAAGAACAGACACAGCAGCACTGATAGGGAGGTCTGCGAACTGGGCACAGAATTGCGGTAGAGTGACGAGTCTGGTAAAACATCAGATTGGCAGGGAGTCTAACCGGGCATGGTCCCTCACACCTATAATCCCAGCACACGGGAGGGGGAGGCAGGAGATCCATCGCTGAGAGACAAGGTCAGTCGGGACTACTGAGTGAGGCCCTGTCTGGAAAAGAAAGAAGGAAGAGTACAAAGGATTGGAAGGCGTGAGGAGGACAGGATGGGCGCCCAGTGCCCCGGAGAGGCTTCTTGGTGGAGGCCCTCTCTGGGAGTGTTGTTTTCTTAGCTTTGGCCCACTGCTGACATGAAAGACTGCAGACCTAGGATTGTTCTGGGTTTTAGAAAAGCCCGAAATGCCTTTTCCCCCCTGTGAGCTTTATTAAGTTTTAATACTGGCATATTAGTTTCCTAAGGGTTCTGTAACAGTGCCCAGACTGAGTGATTTAAACACAGTCCTGCAGAGTAATCTGTCCTCGGGGCTGGCTCCTCCCCAGCCCATGAAGGAAAGCACGTCCCTTGTGTCTTGGAAACCTTTGGCCTTCCTCTGCGATAGACTCTTTATCCTATCTCCGCATTCATCTTCCCTGAATGGGTCTGTTCCTGGGTCCACATTTTTCTTTTTATAGGGACATTAATACTGTTAATTAGGCTTTACTACCCCAGTGATTTTAATCAGCAAAGACACTATTGCCAAGCAGGGCGACCTTGACAGGTATGGTGGTTCAGTGTCCTTTTAGGGATTGTAGTTCAACTCATGACAACTGACATTTTCCAAGCCTTACATTGGCCCACGGCCGCAGTCTCTTGCCTCAGAGTTAGAGCTGTGAATACTGGGTGCCGGGGACCCCCCACTATGCATCCAGCTGAGAGGCAGGACCAGGAGGGTCACAGGAGGCTGAGGAAACAGTAACTGAGTCTTCAGGGTCATCTCTTCAAAGGGCGGGCCAGGAAAAGATCCGGGGCTGTGTGAAGTAGCACACGGACCTGTTACCCCACAAGCCAGGTGGGCTAGACCAATGGCTTCCCCTGCGTGCACTTGCTCCTGCAGGCAATAGGAGGAGATGGGTTGGGTGGGGCCTGGCCCATGGGATGGATCAGAGATAGAATTGGCAGTGATAAGCCGGGCGTTGGTGGCGCACGCCTTTAATCCCAGCACTCGGGAGGCAGAGGCAGGCGGATCACTGTGAGTTCGAGACCAGCCTGGTCTACCGAGCGAGTTCCAGGACAGCCTCCAAAGCCACAGAGAAACCCTGTCTCGAAAAACCAAAAAAAAAAAAAAAAAAAAAAAAAAAAAAAAAGAATTGGCAGTGATAGTTAACCTGTGGTTTGAGCTGGCATGGCCTAAGGACCCTTCAGGAGGAGGTGCGTCTGACTGGCCACTAGACTGTCGGAGAGTGTGAGACTTCTCGTGGGGGTGAGGGCAGCTTGGGCTCTGAAGGAGAAACTGAACGCTTCTAGAGGTGCAGGCTAGGCCAGGCAGGCAGGCAGATGAGCAAAGCCTCTTGCATTGACAGGGGATGAGGCTGTGCTAAATGCAGCAGCTTCCAATAGCTGATAAGAGTCAGGCAAAGGCTTAACCTGGAAGGCAGTGGGGAGCTTTGGGAAATGGTACCATGTTGGTGACACTTTTGGAAGACAACTCTGGAAGGAAATGAGATTGAACTTCAGGCACCCTGGGGGCGGAGGGTCAGGTCACAGGCAGCTGGTGAGAGTTGAGAAGTGAGGAGCAGCCCTGTCATGGCAGGGAGGAGGGAGCCGTGGACACACTAGGACAGTGTGAGACCTAGCCAGTACCTGACCAGTGTTCTGCTCTGTTGCTGGCCTTGCAGGGTCAGGTGGGACACAGCAAGGCCCTGATGCACCAGTGAGCTTGTGCCCAACCCTGCTGCCAGGCTACACCTGTTCTCTGCACATGTGGAAAGAGACCTCTGTACCCCTCGTCCACCTTTGACCCCTGCTCTGCCTCCCACCCCCCTTCTCCCTACTCTAGCTCCCTGATCAAATGGTTTCTGATCAGAGGCCCGTTGACACTCTGAAGTGTCACCCCACGAGGCTGGCGCCATTACTGGCTTTGTCTCCACAACATGCGTCATTGCTCACGGTCAAAGCCTTGATCTAGCTCTCTCCACTAGACTCTAAGCTATGTAGAGGCAAGAACTTGATCTTAGGCCCTGACAGCACCTGGGGCGGTGCTTGGAACACAGCTGGCACTCAGTGAGTGTGGAGTGGATGAGAGAAATAATAGGATGAACGCGTTTGAGCTCTGTCCTGACAAAATGCTTAGCCGGTCCACATCCCTAGTGTCAAAAGGGGGGCACTAGATAAGATGATCGCTGGGATCCTTGAAGGGGTGACGTCCGAGTCTCTTGGTGGGTCAGGGCTTCCAGGCTATCGGCAGGTTCACAGCGTGCACCGGGCCTCCTCATCTTGGCATCCAGGCTTGGCTGAGGTGGTGGCAAAGGTCGGACCAGAGTGCCTCTCCCTCCTGATGAACTCCCCTTGCCTCTGCGCCCTCCAGCCACAAGACCTCCTGGTGGCTGCCATACGGATGAGTTCCAGTGCCGCCTAGATGGCCTGTGCATCCCCCTGCGGTGGCGCTGTGACGGAGACACTGACTGCATGGATTCCAGTGATGAGAAGAGCTGCGAGGGGGTGACCCATGTTTGTGACCCAAATGTCAAGTTTGGCTGCAGGGACTCAGGTGAAGAGGACTAAAGGGTGCTCATGTGGCGGCGTGGGTAGGAGGAGGCCATCTTGAAACCTTAACGGTGGGGCGGGGAGGGGGACGGCCAAGAAAACCCCAGAGTCTGCATGGAGGACCCTGGGAGCCCAAACCCTGGCCAGAATTGAGCGTCAGCACCTTGTGCAGGTTCCTGCCCTCTTAGTTACCTGTGGGTTTGACAGAAAATGCTTCATGGTTCGGAGTGGGCTCCAAAGCACTTGGGCAGGGACCCTGTTAGATAAGCCCACCGGGTCTGGGCGGGGCACGGAGAGTCCCAGTTTCCTGGCCTGGCTCCTCATTCTGCGTCCATCTCATCCCTCAGCTCGGTGCATCAGCAAAGCGTGGGTGTGTGACGGTGACAGTGACTGTGAGGACAACTCAGATGAGGAGAACTGCGAGGCCCTGGCCTGCAGGCCACCCTCACATCCCTGTGCCAACAACACCTCCGTCTGCCTGCCCCCGGATAAGCTATGTGACGGCAAAGATGACTGCGGAGATGGCTCGGATGAGGGCGAGCTCTGCGGTGAGGTCCTAGCAGGTCCTGGGGTCAGCAGTGTGGAGAGGCATCTGGGCCAGGGCAGGTCTGCAGGAGGGGGTCTGGGGCAGGAGTGGGCAGTACTCGGGGTGTCTCCAACAATGTATGTTGGTCTAGGATCTGCTGTGGCATCCCGTGACCACAGCATTTCCTCCACCAGGTGGCCCAGTGAGGCGTCCACAGTATGTCTGTCTCCACACGAGAAAGAGACCCAGAGCCCTTGAAAAAGTAGTCTAGAGTCATACCACTCCGCTGGCATGGCGGGGAGGGGGTGTTTAGGACTCCCGAGCTGGAATAGACCCCTCAGTCTGACCACTGAATAGGGAGGCCAGACTGGAGGTGTGATCTGAGCAGACTTCTGGGGGAGGGGAATTTAACTGGGCTCCCAGAAACGAGCAAGTGTACAGGGTCGGGGTCGGGGTCGGGGTCAGGGAGGGCCACTCGGGTGATTTGATGGTCTGAGCAGAGCAAACAGGACACCTGACTTCTGGGAAAGGGAACGACGGCGAAGGATAAAGCCACGCGGGACGGGCCCAGGAACTGCTGACGTGGCGGCAGCAGGGCAGCGAGTTCTAGGGCTGTCAGAAGGGTTGGGGCGTTCCCCTCTGCAGCCTCCCCCAGATTACACCACAGTAGGGAGAGATCAAAGAGAGGCCTTGACCTAAGGCCTCTCCCGGAGAGGAGGCAAAATGCCCAGGCCCCAGCTGTGGACCCAGGAGGGTACGGGAACATAGAGAGCAGAGGGTGGCGTGGGGAGAGGGGACGAGGCCTGGATGTCAGGCTCTGGTGATCCAGTCCTGAGGATCGTGGGGAGCGAGGCAGAGACCTCCCAGGGGCTGTGGGTAGGAATCCAGGGCTTGGACTGGGATAGAAAAAACTTGAAGGCTCCACAGAGCCCTGTCGTGCCTCCTCTCAGATCTTGACCCTGGACCTGTCCCCCGCCTGTCCCCGCAGACCAATGTTCCCTGAATAATGGTGGCTGTAGTCACAACTGCTCAGTGGCTCCTGGCGAAGGCATCGTGTGCTCTTGCCCCCTGGGCATGGAGCTAGGCCCTGACAACCATACCTGCCAGATCCAGAGCTACTGTGCCAAGCACCTCAAATGCAGCCAGAAGTGCGACCAGAACAAGTTCAGCGTTAAGTGCTCCTGCTATGAGGGCTGGGTCTTGGAGCCTGATGGCGAGAGCTGCCGCAGTCTGGGTAAGACACGGTGGAGTGGGGGAACCAGTCCTGGTCCTGTCCCCCAGCTGCAGTGGGCTGGGCACTTCAGTGACCAAACATGGACGTCTGAGCTTCCCATGTGGGCCAAGGCCAGGGCCAGCAGAGACCCTGGCCTAGCCGGTGGCTCAGAAACACAGTACACCTCGTGATGACCGATCACATCCCTCCCCACCAGATCCCTTCAAACCTTTCATCATCTTCTCCAACCGCCATGAGATCCGCCGCATTGACCTTCACAAAGGGGACTACAGCGTCTTGGTGCCCGGCCTGCGAAATACCATTGCCCTGGACTTCCACCTCAGCCAGAGCGCCCTCTACTGGACTGATGTGGTAGAAGACAAGATCTACCGTGGGAAGCTGCTGGACAACGGAGGTGACTCGCTGGGTCTGGGCGTGGTGCCAGGATTACACACAGATGGTACTTGGGCATTCAGGGTCACAGACCCAGATCCAGGTGGCCCCAAGGCTGAGACTCCGGCTCCCATCCCCCACTCCCCTGGTAATTGGGTTAGATTTCGCTGTGGGTCTCAGAGCCTGATGCCCATAATTACCATGAGCATTGCTGCTAGCCCGATAATTAATGAAATGATCACCCTTTCTTTGGAATGGCCCGAAGACTGGCTCCTAGTCTTGGAATTTCAGGCTTAGAAGGAAAATACCATGAAGGAATAGGATCCCTGAGCCTCTGTCTCATGGCAGCCTGAGTCATCACGGGCTCAGTATTGAGCTTCTGCTGTTCAGCAGGCACTGGACACAGTGCTGATCAAGACAGACAGTTTTAAGTTATGTGTCAGGGTGTGTCCCTGAGGAGGTGGCATCTGAACACAGGCATGAAAAGAGCACGTTTTACTAGAGGAGTTTGTATTGTTGATTGTCAAGGAAACTTGAAAACATCTCAAATGTCCATCGCCTGGAGAATAGCTAAGGAAACCGATCTATTCATCACATGACAGTTTCTAAAATAGTAAGACGCAGGGACATGTTAGCATAGAATATCTTCAGGACATTCTATGGGGTAATTTCTAGCAAGTTTCATCATCCTCATACTATGTACAGACATGTTTCTAGAAGCTTCCACCCTCCCTGATGTGCTTTCCCAGCTAACCCCATCAGAGCACTCCATGCAGAGAGTGGCCGCCCTCACCCTCCTCCCGGAGCCCCCTTTTCCACCCACCTCCTGGTGGGAAGAGGCCCGGGTGAGGAGAGGGAGGGGGGCTTTGGGAATACCGCGCCAGGAGCCGGGCCCGTCAGAGGACTCAGCCCATCAGGATGAGGGTGGCTCATTGAGGGACCTAGGATCTCCACCTCTGCTGTGCCCCACCCCGGGGTCTCTCACCCCCTGCAACCTTCTCTCCTAGCCCTGACCAGCTTTGAAGTAGTGATTCAGTATGGCTTGGCCACGCCGGAGGGCCTGGCTGTCGACTGGATTGCAGGCAACATCTACTGGGTGGAGAGCAACCTGGACCAGATTGAGGTGGCCAAGCTGGATGGAACCCTCCGGACCACTCTGCTGGCGGGTGACATTGAGCACCCAAGGGCGATTGCACTGGACCCTCGAGATGGGTGAGGACTGTGTCCATCCCTTCCTCTCCCTTCCTAGCCCTGTGGTCCCTCTGATGATCTGTTCAGCCCAGCCAGGGAAACTCGTTGTCTTGGTACTGTTGATCCCCTCATGTTTTACCGATGGTGCCACCACCACCAACTTTGGCCTCCCCCCTCCCTCCCTAGGATTCTGTTTTGGACAGACTGGGATGCCAGCCTGCCTCGAATTGAGGCAGCATCCATGAGCGGCGCTGGGCGCCGTACCATCCACCGAGAGACAGGCTCTGGGGGCTGGCCCAACGGGCTCACCGTGGACTACCTGGAGAAGCGCATCCTCTGGATTGATGCCAGGTCAGCACTCTCTACCACCCAGGGTTGAGGCAGCAGCACCCGGGCAGGGGCCTGGGGCCAGCAGGAACAGAGGTGAAGCCAACACCGTGGGGGGGGTTCGGGGCGAGGGGTGGGAGGACTGAAGAGAAGAAAAGCAGGGTGTGACCTGTAGTTACTCACCTTCCGCTCTGCTGAGGGCTCTGCCTTCCTGCAACTCACACCAAAGCTCCGGATGCCATCTGCAAGCCTGGGAAGGAAATCTAGAAGGCTCCTTCAGGGGTCATAAGGCTAGGATCCCAACCTCACCCCACCCTGCCCCGCCTCAGTCTTTCCTTCTTTCTTTGGTCACCTGGTGGAGCTCGGGGAAGGTGCTCCCTGTCGGGGTGGGGAAGATGCTGCCTGTGTCTCTCTGAGGTCCTCACTGCTCGCTTGATCACACCCTCAGGTCGGACGCTATCTACTCAGCCCGGTATGACGGCTCCGGTCACATGGAGGTGCTTCGGGGACACGAATTCCTGTCACACCCATTTGCAGTGACACTGTATGGCGGGGAGGTGTACTGGACCGACTGGCGAACAAACACGCTGGCTAAGGCCAACAAGTGGACTGGCCACAATGTCACCGTGGTACAGAGGACCAACACCCAGCCCTTTGACCTGCAGGTGTACCACCCTTCCCGGCAGCCCATGGGTAAGGGGCTGACCTTGCAGGCGGTCGCTGGCCAGGGAGGGTACGGGGGAGCCGGAGGGGCCCGCGCTGGCGCGGTGAGGGTGTGCGGACTCAGGAAGGATGCGAGCTGGGGTGGGATCCAGATGAGAAAGGCCAGGTAGGGACCAAGACGTCACAGGGTGTCCCTGCTGTCTTCTCTCTGGCTCAGCTCCAAATCCATGTGAGGCCAATGGCGGCCGGGGGCCCTGTTCCCACCTGTGCCTCATCAACTACAACCGGACTGTTTCCTGTGCTTGCCCCCACCTCATGAAGCTGAAAGACAATACCACCTGCTACGGTAGGAGGCCACTTCCCCCAACAGCCACGGGTAAACTGAGGCTGGGGGGGGCCTGAAGCAAAGGAGCGGCTGGAAGGAGAGGCTCCCCAAACCAGTACAGGACCCGACATACGCTGCATGGTCTCTTTGTGGTGGTTCTCAACCTGTGGATTGCAACCTCTCTGGGGATCACGCGACCCTTTCACAGGGTCACATATCAGATTGCTATATATTAGATACGAGACATTAGGACTCGTAACAGTAACAAAATTACAGTCTTTACGATAAAGCAACAAAATAATTTTATAGTTGAGCTCACCACATCATGAGGGACTGTACTAAAGGGTCGCAACATTAAGACAGTTGAGAACGATGGCACCAGAGGGAATTCAGGGGAGGGACCTAATCTAGGCAGGCAGGAAGCCTGAAGGCAAGGGACAGCCTTCAGTGACCCGCCTGCGCCCCACAGAGTTTAAGAAGTTCCTGCTGTACGCACGTCAGATGGAGATCCGGGGTGTGGACCTGGATGCCCCCTACTACAATTACATCATCTCCTTCACCGTTCCCGACATCGACAACGTCACGGTGCTGGACTATGACGCCCGCGAGCAGCGCGTTTACTGGTCTGACGTGCGGACGCAAGCCGTCAAGCGCGCCTTCATCAATGGCACAGGCGTGGAGACGGTCGTCTCTGCAGGTTCTGACGCTGTCCCCGACCCCAGGGCTGGCACCAGTCCCGTCCCCCATAGTCCTGACGCTCTTTCTCCACACTCGTCTCCGTGTGGTGTCTAGCCCCAGTTTCCTGACCCTGGTTCCCCAGAAACCATATTCTCCTTGGCCTACACCCTGCAAAAACCAACCGCCACCTCCCCATTTGTGCCTTCAGACTTACCAAACGCCCATGGGCTGGCTGTGGACTGGGTGTCCCGCAATCTGTTCTGGACAAGTTACGACACCAACAAGAAGCAGATTAACGTGGCCCGGTTGGACGGCTCCTTCAAGAACGCAGTGGTGCAGGGCCTGGAGCAGCCTCACGGCCTGGTCGTCCACCCGCTTCGTGGGTGAGTCTGCGGCTCAGGGCCGGGGCACGCCCGTGGGAGGCGGGACAGGAGAACTCTTACCCGCTCTTCTTGGCACTTTTCCCAGCAAGCTCTACTGGACCGATGGCGACAACATCAGCATGGCTAACATGGACGGCAGCAACCGCACTCTGCTCTTCAGTGGCCAGAAGGGCCCCGTGGGTATGCCCTGCCCAGCTGGCTCCTGCCCTAGGTCTCTCCCAGCCCCACCGCGCCCGTTCCCAGCCCACCTCGTTCCAGACCTGTGGTGGTACCTTTCTTGCACAAATAAAGCCTGTCTGGAGATGAGAGGAGGAGCAAGCCACAGCACACCTTACCTCCTAAGCATCTCAGCAGAGAAGCAAGCCATTTCCTGTTTGTCCCTGCTCATATCCTGTTTCTGTACATCACTACCTGTCTGTCTGTACAGACCTCCAGACCTCTATGGTTTGCTAGTGGCAAGCTCCATTCTCTGACCCCCCGACAGGCTTTATTTGTGCAAGGAAGATATCACCACACAGACCCCATCAGCCTCCTATGTTCCCAGCCCTGGATGCGGCCCTGGTGCCAGGCTCCATGGCTGTGACACCGATTCTTCTTCCAGGGCTGGCTATTGACTTCCCCGAAAGCAAACTCTACTGGATCAGCTCTGGGAACCACACGATCAACCGCTGCAATCTCGATGGGAGTGGGCTGGAGGTCATTGACGCCATGCGGAGCCAACTGGGCAAGGCCACTGCACTGGCCATCATGGGTGAGGCTGGGGTGGAGGGAGGGGCAGGAGGGAGGCAGGCCGGGCACCATGGGCTGGATGGGTGGGGGGAATCTCCTGGGTGCCGCCTTCCACCCCATAAGCCTAGTGACTTCCACAGGAGGGTTGAGTTAAGGGCCCTTCCCTCCCAAGGGTCTTATTCCGTCCTGTTTGCCTCAGGGGACAAGCTGTGGTGGGCAGATCAGTTGTCGGAGAAGATGGGCACATGCAACAAGGCTGACGGCTCTGGGTCTGTGGTGCTGCGGAACAGCACCACGTTAGTTATGCACATGAAGGTGTATGACGAGGCCGTCCAGCTAGGTAGGCAGTGGGGGAGGGGGTGCTACCCTGAGGGCTTGCAGCAGCGGGGATGGGGGGGTGGTAGGAGAGGGGTTTCAAAGCTGTCCCCGGGAGCAGCCTTCCAAGGGCGTAAAGGGTGGGTTAGGTTCCACTCGTCACCCCCTGGGACTTCTTTTCCTTGTCTCCACTGAGGTGTCCTGTAGGCTCGAAGTCTGACTAGAAGGTCCAGGGGCCTACGAAGACCAAAGATGGGAGAGTTGGGTTGTGTGGGACTCTGACGGGTCCAAAATGAATCTAGTTGATGGGGGGACCATCCTGTCCCCCAGCAGCCCAAACCTGTATCTGCGTCTCCCATGAAGGCCGCCTAACCCTTCCACTCTGTCCCCTGCCCTTCCCCAGAGCGTGAGGGCACCAACCCCTGCAGCATCAACAATGGGGACTGTTCCCAGCTCTGCTTGCCGACCTCAGAGACAACTCGCTCCTGTATGTGTACAGCTGGCTACAGCCTCCGGAGTGGACAGCAGGCCTGTGAAGGTCAGTTCCTGGCGTCTCCCAGCCTAACCTTGATCCCTCCCACCATACCGCTGCCTCTTGCATTTGGGGAAAACGATGTTCATCACATATTACCAGGCATCTTCTGGGTTCGATGCTCACCCAGCTTCACTGTTCTGGGTACCATGAATAAAATCTTCAGGCAGAAGATGGGGCCAGCATAGTGACTGTGATGGTTCAGTGTCTGCAGTAGGTGTTGGTTGAGGTAGACTCCAGGTGACAGAAGCAGGCCAGCTTAGCTGAGGAGGCGTACTGTGCCCTGGGTTTATAAAATGGGTGGAGAACTTGATGCTTGGCACAATGGAGAAACAGGTTGGTGGTAACACTGGCAGAGTGCGCTTAGCATGATGCCCTGAGCCCTAAGTTCTAACCCAACCACATGTGCACGCACACGCGCATACCGTACAAGAGGCAAGAACAGAGCTAACCCGTCAAGTTCCTGGGCCCCTGGGCCCTGCAGTGGGCAGAGAGTGGGAAGTCGGTGATAAGGTTGTGAGCTAGGGTGGGGTTCCTTGGGTTCCCAGCCAGGAGTGCCTGGAAAGTGGTGTTTGGAGGAGATTACCCTGGCGGCAGAGAGCTTACGGAGTGGGGGAGGGAGAAACCGAGGCAGTTAAACCAGTTAGGAGACTGAGAAGTTCTGTGAGAGGAGACAGGCTCTGGGCTGGGTAGCAGCCCGCTTGCAGGGAAGGGACGAGACTCTCAGACATTTCACAAGAATTTGCTCATTCTCAAGCTTGCCCGAGGCCAGCACTTTCCCCCCAAAGTCCTCTGCCAGAACCTGCTTTGATGTGGGTGGGGCTTCCAGAAGGGAACGCTGGGCCTGGCAGAGTGGAAACATGGTTTGGGTTGGTTTTTGTTTTTTGCTGCACAGCTCCTTGGAGCCTATGTACCAGTGTGCACCGCCCATCTTTTGAGACTAGACTTTTAGTGTCTGGGGTTCCCCAAATGCACCTGACCACGTTTTTTTTCTTTCACAGAGCTCAGGCAACCAAAACCTGTTGGGGGAGTTCACGTGGGCACATATTACATATATCAAAGGGATGAAAGTCAGGGAGGGTCCTGGGTGCATGGGAAGGCTGGGACAAGCTGGCCCAGGAGCAGGCACGGTGCTAGGGATGTTGTGCTGGAAAAGGATTTGGAGTAGACACGGGATAAAGAGAAAACTAAGGTCAAACTCAGGGTCAAACTGGGAATCTAGATTTTGGAGTCTCGCCGCTCCAGTTGTCTCTGCTCTGATCCTCACAGCCTCCCCTGAGGGCCTTGGCAGGCACAGGGTTGAATTAAGTGGAGGGCGGGGTGATGAGAGGAGCATAGGTCTCTTTCTGCCCTCTAGTGGTGATTAGGGGGTTCTGCAGGTGGTCCCTCCGAGCTGGATCCAGGCTCCAGGCCTCAGACCACAGTGTGAGTGTGTTGTCCAGGTCAAGGAGATGGGTGGCAGAAACTGTCAAAGGGAAGGCAGGACAAACAGGCTGGGGGTGACAGGAATCAGGCTTCGTCAGTGAGGCTCGTGCCTGAGGTGTCCTCGTGTTTCAGGCGTGGGCTCTTTCCTCCTGTACTCCGTGCACGAGGGAATCCGCGGGATCCCCCTGGATCCCAATGACAAGTCAGATGCCCTGGTCCCAGTGTCGGGAACATCACTGGCTGTTGGAATCGACTTCCATGCTGGTGAGCTATATTGGCCTTGGGCTGGTCCACACGCTTATGGGGGTGTCACACTTTAAGTCCTGGAAGAGTCGCCTGTACTGGCTGTAGCCGCTGCCTACTCCTTCCCTCCTGCTGTAATCACGCACCCCGCCCACCGCCCCAAGCAAGCCCTGGCACCCCAGCCTTCGCTTACCTCTCCTGCCCCTCCGCCCGGGCTGACCCCTGCCTTGCCCCTCCTGGATGGGCATTCTCATGACTGGCCCTTGGCTTCCAGAAAATGACACTATTTATTGGGTGGACATGGGCCTGAGTACCATCAGCCGGGCCAAGCGGGACCAGACGTGGCGAGAGGACGTAGTGACCAATGGCATTGGCCGTGTGGAAGGCATTGCAGTGGACTGGATTGCAGGTGAGCGGTGGAAGGGGTGATAGGCTTTGGGGAGAAGGCGGGGGCCAGTGAGAGCTAGGGGGAAAATCTGGATGGAAGAGGGGCCAAGTACATGGCTCTCCACCAATGCTCCCAAACCAACTTTCCCCTCAGGCAACATCTACTGGACAGACCAGGGTTTCGATGTCATCGAGGTTGCCCGGCTCAATGGCTCTTTCCGTTACGTGGTCATTTCCCAGGGTCTAGACAAGCCTCGGGCCATCACTGTGCACCCGGAGAAGGGGTAAGGAGCTAGGCAGGCCGGTGTGGATCTGGCCCTGTCACCCTGACTACAGGATATACTGACAAGGCCCAACGCCTGCATGGTTTGGGCTCTGACCCCCCACACTTCCATCCCCACCCCACAGGTACTTGTTCTGGACCGAATGGGGCCATTACCCACGTATTGAGCGGTCTCGCCTAGACGGTACGGAGAGAGTGGTACTAGTCAATGTCAGTATCAGCTGGCCCAACGGCATCTCAGTAGACTATCAGGTATGGCCGCACCCTGGAGCTGATGGAGTGGGTGGCCCTGTGCCTTTCCCTATGGTTAACCAAAGTCAGGGTTAGTCATGGACCAGGGAATGTTACAGAGTGTTCTAACCCATCCGGCGCCCTAGAGTAGTCATCTGCCCTAGGATGATGTGGGTGTGGTCATTCTGACCGGGAGTGTGAGAAAGCTGGATGCAGTGATGTATGCCTGTGTAACCTTAGCTCTCCAGAGACTGAGGCAGGAAGATCTCTTCAAGCTTGAGGCCAGTGTTGGCTGCAATAGCGAGTTTAAGACTGGCTTGGGCTACCCAGTAAAGACCTTGTCTCGCCGGGAAGTAGTGGTACACACCTTTAATTCTAGCACTCAGGAGGCAGAGTCAGGTGGATCTTTGTGAGTTTGAGGCCAACCTGGTCTACAGAGCAAGTTCCAGGACAGCCAGAGCTACAAGGAAGAACCCTGTCTCAAGAAAAACAAAAAACAAAAAAAACAAAAACCTTGCCTCAGAAACTTTAAACAGAGAAGAAAGAGGTGAAGCTGTTGCTGGGTTTAGTCTCCAATACTGCAGTGGCAATAACAAAAATTGTATGCTGGTGGGAGCCAGGCTGGAGAGATGGCTCAGCCGTTAAAGGCTAGGCTCACAACCAAAAGTACGCTGGGCGTGGTGGTGCACGCATTTAATCCTAGCACTCAGGAGGCAGAGGCAGACAGCTCTCTGTGGGTTCGAGGCCAGCCTGGTCTACAGAGCGAGTTCCAGGATAGGCTCCAAAGCCACAGAGAAACCCTGTCTTGAAAAAAAAAAAACAGTGGAGGGTGTGGCACTACACACCCTCTTCCGCTGCCTGGGATGCAGACACCGGCTAGAAGTTTAGGGCCTGAGGTGAGGTGTGCATATTTGTGGCCTGCAGGGCGGGAAGCTCTACTGGTGTGATGCCCGGATGGACAAGATCGAACGCATTGACCTGGAGACCGGTGAGAACCGTGAGGTCGTCCTGTCCAGCAACAACATGGACATGTTCTCCGTGTCAGTGTTTGAGGACTTCATCTACTGGAGTGACAGGTGAGGGCCGTGTCCTGCTTCTCCCGCGTGTCTCCTTTCTGGCTAATTGGCACCCCGTTCACGCTGTCCCTTTCTCCAGGACTCATGCTAATGGCTCCATCAAGCGCGGGTGCAAAGACAATGCCACAGATTCCGTGCCTCTGAGGACTGGCATCGGAGTGCAGCTTAAGGACATCAAGGTCTTCAACAGGGACAGGCAGAAGGGTAAGGCTGGGCCCTGGGCCAGGGCAGAGAGGTGGACAAGACAGCCTGGTCTTGGAAGAAGAGAGGATAGGAGAGGAGTCAGAGCCTCAAGGGCACTCTCTCATGACTCACAAGAGCTGGAGGCAGGGAGTAAAAGATATGGATATCAGCACCACGCTGAGCAGGGTTCAGCTGCAACTTCTAACTGGGAGCCCAGAGGACAAGAGGCACCCAGGAGCCTTCCACGGTACACGCTACTACCTTCTGATGCTCTCTGCCCCCAGGTACCAACGTGTGTGCAGTTGCCAATGGCGGGTGCCAGCAGCTATGCCTGTACCGGGGTGGCGGACAGCGGGCCTGTGCCTGCGCCCACGGGATGCTGGCAGAAGATGGGGCCTCGTGCCGAGAGTACGCCGGCTACCTGCTCTACTCAGAGCGCACCATCCTCAAGAGTATCCACCTGTCGGACGAGCGCAATCTCAATGCGCCCGTGCAGCCCTTCGAAGACCCTGAGCACATGAAGAACGTCATTGCCCTGGCTTTTGACTACCGAGCGGGCACCTCCCCCGGCACCCCTAACCGCATCTTCTTCAGTGACATCCACTTTGGGAACATCCAGCAGATCAACGATGATGGCTCAGGGAGGACCACCATCGTGGAAAGTGAGCCTGAGTCCTTCCCAGCAGTGGTGGTAAAGGGTGGTCGGCCTGGACCACTCACAGACAGCCACCAACTCACCGCCGCTTTAAATCCCACCCACTTTATGGGCCTCAGGCAGTAGTTCTCAATCCGTGGGTGAGGGAAGTGTGTCAAACGACCCTTTCACAAGGGTCCCGTGTCTGATATCTTGCATATTGTATATTTACATTGCGATCCATAGCAGTAGCAAAATTACAGTTATAAAGTAGCAGCGAAAATAATGTGGGGGTCACCACAACATGAGGCATTAAAGGGCCGCAGCGTTAGGAAGGTTGAGAGTCATTGTGCTAGGGGCTGGCCACATTCACCGCCTTCATAGTAGCCTGCACATGCTCCCTCTTTGGAGCCAGGAGGAGCCCCTTCCTTCCTTGTCCTGGGTTTTTTTCCCTCTTTTCTTCTTTGGTTTTTCGAGACAGGGTTTCTCTGTGGCTTTGGAGGCTGTCCTGGAACTTGCTCTTGTAGACCAGGCTGGCCTCGAACTCACAGAGATCCGCCTGCCTCTGCCTCCCGAGTGCTGGGACTAAAGGCATGCACCACCGCCGCCCGCCCTTGCCCTGGTTTTATTCCACCCCAGATACACAGCACTGCAGACTGGGCCCAGGTGCAAGCCTGGTCACATAGGATTCAGTAACTCCATCGAGCGTCCTGGCTCTGCCAGAGCAGTGACATCCTCAGAGCTGTCACCAGAAGACAGCCTCTCGTCTCTTTCAGAACAGTCCCTGGCCCTTCTTTTTCTCATCCTCAGGCTGTCTGCTTGGGACCTTGGCCCATTTACCCCCACACGAACACACCCCTTTTAACTTTATAGCCACTGATAGCCTTCTGATCCCCTTGTGCTGGGGTCATCTGGGGTTATAGGTGTGCACTACCACGACTTTTTTTATATGGTACCAGGACTTGAACCCAGGGCCTTGAGCATGCTAGGCAAGTGCTGTGTCACCTGGGGTCATTCCCAGTCTCCATTTGTCCCCTCTCTTCATCCAGCAGGTCCATACAGACCATCCAGGCACTGAGCTAGGTGCAGAATATCCAGCAGAAAAAGAGCAGGCCTGTCCTTCAGAGTCCTGGGATCTTTTCTGCATAGTGTCCTGTCTGTGTCTAAAAGGCAGAATCCGAGGGCAGGGGGAGCTCGGTGGAGTACGTGCTTAGCATGCACGGGGCCTTGGGTCCATCGGCAGCAGCTAAACTGGATACTCCTAATCTCAGCAGAGCCTGGGAGCCGGCCCCTCCCCTCAAGCTATCTGTGCTACAGTGTACTCAGACTCCCGGCAGCCACACAGACATACAAGAAGTAGCCGCTGAGACCCCCGCCCCCAGCCCCGCCCCCGGGTGTTGCTTGTACTGCTGTTAAGCTCTGTCTCTGTTTATGCTCTTTAACCCGACCTTGTGTCTGCTTTACAAAACCTTCAGGTTCAAGGCCTCTAGAAGCAGGATCTCTCCTGTCTGGCCCCAGTGGGATTTAGTTACCTGAAATCTCCACACGTGAATAAGCAGGACCCTAAGCCCCTGAAGAGCGTGACCGTACATAGACCGAGTGTCGGGGGCGGGGGAGGAAAAGGAAGGTGGGCTGAGGGTCCTGGCACAGGTGGGGCGGTGAGGCAGCAAGGGAGGGGCAGCAGCCAGTCAGACGGAGGAGGCCTCTGAGCGACACTCCTGAATCCCACAGTTCCTCAGTGGAATGGGGCCTAGTCACCCCCGAAGCTAACACCCACCAGGCTGACCCTCAGCCCCTACTCTTTGACCCCTCTCAACCCACAGCTGTTTCTGTCTCTTCACAGATGTTGGCTCTGTGGAAGGCCTGGCCTATCACCGGGGCTGGGACACGCTGTACTGGACAAGCTACACGACATCCACCATCACCCGCCACACAGTGGACCAGACTCGCCCAGGGGCCTTCGAGAGGGAGACAGTCATCACCATGTCGGGAGACGACCACCCAAGGGCGTTTGTTCTGGATGAGTGCCAGAAGTAAGCTGCTGGGCCCAGGGGGCGGGGAGCAGGGGCAGAGGGGAAAGGCACGGGCCGCCAGCCGTTCCTGGCTGTGCAGCCTCAGTGAGGTGTACGAGGTCTCTGGGCTTCAGTTTCCTCCACCGTGATGTAGAACAAGGGTAATAATTCAAGTGCCAGAACCGAAGGGCAAGTTGAGGGCTGTGGGGACACTCCTGGCTCTGTGACTGCCGTTCCTCACCCAGCGCGTTCAAACCCTGAAGTGCTTGTGAGTCTAGACTCAGAGCTTCAGCTGAACCTGAGTACATGGAAGCCCTGGTCTGGGTCTGTTCAAGCCCCTAGCTGAGCAGAGGTCCCATCCGGGGGCCACAGGGGCAGTGACACAGGTCTGTCTGGAGTGACCGAGAGTAGCGCCCATGTGGGCACAAGGCCTCCAAGTGGGAAAAGCAGGAAGGGAGTAGAACAGGAGGACAGCAGGGGCATCCACTGCACTGGGCGCGGCCGGCCTGCCCTGTCTGTCTGCCCTCATTCCACAGGGTGGGCCCCGGTGAGCCACACCCTCTCCATGGCAGTCCCGGCTCCTGTCTGAGCACCCCCTCCCCGCCCCAGATCAGCTAACCCTTCTAACCCTTCGCTAGGAAACGAACGGACAAACAAACCCCAGAAGCAACTACACAGAATGGTGAACGTGACCCTCGTTCCTCATGCTCACCTTGGCATAACTCTAGCCAGATGCAGCCAGAAGGCCCAACACAAAGACCCTCTGTTCCCTTCTGCCACAGCTGTCTGAGTATGGGGACGCAAAGGTTCCCTGCCCTGACCACAGTGACCTCACCTGTCTCTGCTGGCCCCAGGGCCTGTCCTTCCTGGGCCTGGAGCCTCCAGGGTGAGACCGTGATGCTGAGTTTTCTGCCATTCTAGAAGAGGCATCCTTGTCGTTACCCACCAAGTTCCTCTCTGGCTGAGCCCAGGAAAAAAGTCCTCTCCAGAGCCAGTGGTCTCTGAAAACCCAAAATACACAGAATGGACCAGGTGACAAGCCTGCTGAGGTCCTGTCTACTCACGTTAGGGAAGAGGATAGCGTGACTGTGCCAGCAGCCTGCCCTGGCTGGAAGTCTGGGAACATATCCTCTGGGAGGCGGCTCAGGGCAGTCTGAGGGGTGATGGAGGACACTAACACCCGTGGCTCAAACACCCCAGGAGAGGTCTTGGGGACCTGGTAGGAGCTGGTGTGTCAGGATAGAGGCTCGGCCATATTCCGATCTCGCCGGAGCACTGCTGGAGTTTCTAGCTGCTGACCACCTACTCCAGGAGAGCCTCCCTTCTCCCACCACGCCATGCCACAAAGCAGCTTTGACAAATTCTTGACCCTCAGTGCACCCCGTGTAAGCCAGTTTGATGCTCTGCTGTGGGCGTGGTCTGGGCTGGGCCTGAGGGTGCGGAAGCCGCTGTGAGGCCAGACTGTACAAGTCAAGAAAGAGCACTCAGCAGAGGCAGGCGGATCTCTGTGAGTTCCAGACCAGCCTGGACTACCAAGGGAGTTCCAGGACAGCCTCCAAAGCCACAGAGAAACCCTGTCTCGAAAAAAACCAAAAAAAAAAAAAAAAAAAAGAAAGAGCACTCAGGCCAGGCGTGGGGGTGCCTGTAATCCCAGCACTGGGGCGGTGGCAGTAGGAGTTGGGGGTTGAGGGTCAGTAAGCTGCAGAACCAGTTGAAGGTTAGCCTGGGAGACATCAGGCCTTGTGTAAGGAAAGGAGGAGGGAGGGAGAGAGGAAGAGAGAGTTATAGCTGCTGAATGGTTCACCCATAAAGAGTCCTCTCACCAGACAGGTGTAGTGAGGCCCTTGGGAGGCAGAGGCAGACAGACCTGAGTTCAAGGCCAGCCTGGCCTACAGAGTGAGTTCCAGCACAGCCAGGGCTGCACAGAGAACCCTGTCTCAGAAGAGTCTTGTCCCTGAGGAACAGACTCCACAAGGGCCTCCAGGGAGTCAAGTTTTGCTGTAACAGATTTGAGTTGGGAGAAAGGAGATGGAAGAGGACTGAGCTGTAGCGCAGTTGGTAGACCACTCGCCCTGCACGCATGTAGTCCCGAGTTCAATCCCCAGCACCGCATAGCCCTGGGATGAGGCAGGAGAATCAGAAGATCACCCTTGGCTACATAGAGAGTTCAAGGCCAGCCCAGGTTGGAGAGCCTGTGTGAGAATTAAACAGGCAAGTTCATCAGTTAGAGCAGGGAGGGGCCAAGGCATGGGTGACCAGGGGTGGGTTCTGTTTCTTTGGAGCATTTCAAAGGAAGGTGTGCTTACATAAATGGTTCACCACCCCAGGTCAAGTGAGTCAGTCTCGGGGACCAAGGCCCGGAGCTCACCATCCACCAGGGGCTGTCTAGGGGTGACCATGCTGCCACCGTTGTACTTGGTGTCCCCTGAGGTCCTCGCCACATAAGCAGCAGGGCAGGGCTGGGGGTCAGATTCCAAATTCACGGAGGCCTTAAATTGTGGAGAAAGCACATTTTGGAGTTCAACCCACATGTGTGTGCCCAAGACCAAGGACACAGTCGCACTTTGCAAGGGTTTCCTGGGTAGTCTGGTAAAGAGCCAGCGTTGCTCGGTATAGAGAATGGTTAGCAATAAACTCCAGAGAACTCTGTCGTTGAGATGAATACACACTATTTAATTGTGACAACCCTCTGAGAGGCAGCAGTATTGTATTATCCCCCGCCAGACAGGAGGACACCAAGGTGCAGCGTGGTCAGCTGAGCTGGCTAAAGGTGGGAAATGATGGAGCCAGGACGGGAGGCCGGGGCCTGGCTCGCTTGGCAACACAGCCTCCCGTCTCACAAGTGCAGGCGATCATTTCACAGACGACAACACACGCCTCTGGTCACACAGCAACTCCGTGGTCAGTGGCTGGGCTCTTCTCAGGCTCCAAGGCTGTGCTGGCCTTTGTAGCTGTCATTTATGAAGCACATCCTGGGTTGCAGTTGTGTGTGAGGTTGACCCTTGTCCTCCAAGGCGGGTCTGATCCCTTTTGTAAGGATTCAGGCATTCTGCCAGTCTGCCCCTGTCACCTGGCAGAATGCCCTCAGACAGTAGCCAGTCAGCCCAGGTGCAAAGGAACCCTTTAAAAGAAAGACCTCGCCGGGCGGTGGTGGCGCACGCCTTTAATCTCAGCACTGGGGAGGCAGAGGCTGGTGGATCTCTGTGAGTTCGAGGCCAACCTGGTCTACAGAGTGAGTTCCAGGACAGCCTCCAAAACAATACAGAGAAACCCTGTCTCCAAAAATAAAAATAAAAACCAAAAAAAAAAAAAGACCTCTGCACACTTATGTTTTCTTTTTCTGCTTTCTTTCCTGCTCCTCTTTCCCTCTCTTTTTCACGCTCTCTCTTTCCTGCTGTCCCCCTGGGGCACTCAAGATTTTTCCTTTCTCCCTCTCTTGTCTGTCCTCTCTCTGTGTCTCTTTACCCCCCACCCCCAATAAAGCTTCTCACTAAGCCCTTCCTGGCATGTTTGTCCCTCTGCCTCAGTCAGCCATGGAATCCGCCAAGGTTCCTCACGCATTATTCCTAACACCTTTGCCCACCAGCCTGATGTTCTGGACCAACTGGAACGAGCTCCATCCGAGCATCATGCGGGCAGCCCTGTCCGGAGCCAACGTCCTGACGCTCATTGAGAAGGACATCCGCACGCCCAATGGCTTGGCCATCGACCACCGTGCTGAGAAGCTGTACTTCTCAGATGCCACCTTGGACAAGATTGAGCGGTGCGAGTACGACGGCTCCCACCGCTACGTGAGTCCGAGGGGTGGGGGTGGGTGGGGACCTGAGGGGAAACCAAGTCAGGACAACCAGACTGCCCAGATACATAGCACCAGGTGGGGAGAAGAGCTGGGAGGGTAGAACTTCCCATCTGAGTTCTTGCCTTTTCCCCGGGGCTCTGACATCGCTTAGACGAGGGAGGAGGCCGGGTGCATGCGGGAATCCTTCCTGTTCTAACTTCCCAAGCTCCCCTTGCCCTGCCCCCACTGTAGTAACAGGATTGGTGGAGGCTGGAGCCTCACACGGGGCACTGATGCTCCTGTCTTAACAGGTGATCCTAAAGTCAGAGCCCGTCCACCCCTTTGGGCTGGCTGTGTACGGAGAGCACATTTTCTGGACCGACTGGGTACGGCGGGCAGTGCAGCGGGCCAACAAGTATGTGGGCAGTGACATGAAGCTGCTGAGAGTGGACATCCCCCAGCAACCCATGGGCATCATCGCGGTGGCCAACGACACCAACAGCTGTGAGTGCTGCCTCCCACCGTGCTCCCCTGATCGCTGTGCTCGCACACACGTGTGCGGTGCAGTCCTGTCTCCAGGACTTCTGTCAGACAGATCAATGCCTTTGGTTTTTCGAGAAACAGTTTCTCTGTAGCTTTGGAGACTGTCCTGGAACTCACTCTGTAGACCAGACTGACCTCGAACTCACAGAGATCTCCTGCCTCTGCCTCCCGAGTGCTGGGAATAAAGGCGTGGGGCACCACCGCCCAGCCAGATAAATATCTTTACATACTTTTAGTCCCCCCAGAAACCCCAAAAGCCCCAACATTCCTCAACCCAGCTCCCTCAAGATATCTGTACACAAGCATGGACTTGGCATACTTGGGTCCATCTCTGTGAACTGCACACAAACACACATTCATATTGCTCATGCCTGGAGGGCCAAGTCCCCATCCCTAGAGATCCTGTCATACAGCCTAAAGCTACTCACTCCCCAAACCTGGCCTCATACCTCCATGCCAGGTACAGCCTATGTCTATCCTCAGCCTACACGTGCCTACACCTGACCCAGATGACCTGGTGCGAGCGTGCGTGCGTGTGTGTGCGTGCGTGTGTGTGCGCGCGCGCGCGACTAACAGATCCAAGTCTTTCCCAAGCCTTATGAACATCTTTGGCCACCACTATGTGTTGTGATAAAGTGTGTTGAGCCTGGTGCGAGGGACCTTGGTGGATTCCATGGCAGGCTAGGGTGACCAAAGCAGGGGACAAACATGCCAGGCAGACAGAGCTTAGTGAGAAGTTTTATTAGAAAGGGAAACGGGGGAAGGAAAGAGAAAAGAGGTAAAGAGACACAGAGACAGAGAGAGGACAGAAGAGGGAGACAGGAAAAGTCCTGCCTGCCCCAGGGGAACAGCAGGAAAGAGAGTGTAAGTGGGTGGAGGTCTGTTTTTTAAAGGGTTCCTTTGTACCAGGGCTGACTAGGGTACTGCCTGAATGCATTCTGTCAGGTGACAGAGCAGGCCGGCACAGTGCCTGAATCCTTACACTATGCACATATCTGAAAACTGGACCTAGAATCTTCCCCGAGATTCATCTCAAAGCCCTCATTGCCCACACGCCTCACTATCTCAGCACCCCATGCCAGGGCGTCCCCCATGCTGTGAACCCCCATGGCTGCTGGGGTCATGCAGAGCCCTGTAATATTAGGTGGGCATCTGGCGAGTGTGCACAGTAGGACCACTCTGCAGCTCGCGTGGTCTCCCTTTTCTCTGCCCAGGTGAACTTTCCCCCTGCCGTATCAACAACGGAGGCTGCCAGGATCTGTGTCTGCTCACCCACCAAGGCCACGTCAACTGCTCCTGCCGAGGGGGCCGGATCCTCCAGGAGGACTTCACCTGCCGGGGTGAGGAAGCCAGTCAGGCTGCTGAGGGACCCTCCTTCCAGAATCCAGCCCACGCTACAAAGCTGTACTCAGGCTGGTCCCCCACTCATGGCCCTCTCCATCCCCAGCTGTGAACTCCTCTTGCCGGGCACAAGATGAGTTCGAGTGTGCCAACGGTGAGTGTGTCAGCTTCAGCCTCACCTGTGATGGCGTCTCCCACTGCAAGGACAAGTCTGATGAGAAGCCCTCCTACTGCAGTAAGGACCCCACGCCTCTCCTCAGAACATGGCTACCTAGGACCCCCCCATGTGACCCAGCTCCCTACTGACCCTAGGAGGGCACTAACCAACCCTGTGCCTGCTGTGACCACACCCCTCCCTCCCGCCCGGTGCAGACTCCCGCCGCTGCAAGAAGACTTTCCGCCAGTGTAACAACGGCCGCTGTGTCTCCAACATGCTGTGGTGCAATGGCGCAGACGACTGTGGAGACGGCTCTGACGAGATCCCCTGTAACAGTGAGTGAGATGCTGCAGGCCCGGCCTCCGGCCAGTCTCCACCCCGTCCTTACGCCGGCTCAGCGCTGTCCCCAGGCCCAGGATAGCTAGTTCAGGGCACTGCGAAGACAGGCTGGAGCTCTGTCCTGGGCCTTTGGAGCCCCACAGAGGGCCTCTGAGCTGATGATCCCTCTGTCCTGACGACACTCACGGGTCCTGTTCTAGAGACAGCCTGTGGCGTGGGCGAGTTCCGCTGCCGTGACGGGTCCTGCATTGGGAACTCCAGTCGCTGCAACCAGTTCGTGGATTGTGAGGATGCCTCCGATGAGATGAACTGCAGTGAGTACCACCCCTGCCCCATCCTCAGCCCGTCTCTGACCCTGGTCCATTTCCTCTCCGCCTCCCTGGCCCTGCATAGCAGCCTGTAGCCGGTCTCTGTCCCCCTCCTGCTTCCGGGGTCCTTGGCGGCAGTGAGTAGGTGCCAAGTACGAAGTGCATCTTAAGTGCTCTGGAAACAAAGCCACCGGGGCACCAGCTGCTCCCAGAGTGTTTTACAGGGAACTGGGCTGTGACCCCTGTCTTAGTTAGGGTTTCTATTGTTGTGAAGAGACAACATGACCACGGCAACTCTTATAAAGGAAACATTTAATTGGGGGCTCATGTCCAGTTTCAGGGGTTCAGTCCATGATCATCACAGCAGGCAGGCACGGTGCTGGAGGAGTAGCTGAGAGTCCTACATCTTGCAGGCAGCAGGAAGTCAACTGAGACGCTGGGCGGTATCCTGAGCATAGGAAACCTCACAGCCCGCCCCCACAGTGACACACTTCCTCCAGCAAAGCCACACCCACTCCAGCAAAGCCACACCTCCTAACAGCGCCACTCCCTGTGAGATTCAAACACCACAGCCCCTCACCTCATCCTTCCTCCACCAGGTGCCACTGACTGCAGCAGCTATTTCCGCCTGGGCGTGAAAGGCGTGCTCTTCCAGCCTTGTGAGCGGACATCCCTCTGCTACGCCCCCAACTGGGTGTGCGATGGTGCCAATGACTGTGGCGACTACAGTGACGAGCGTGACTGCCCAGGTCAGCCAGTGGCGGCTGCAGGGTGAAGGGCAGGCCCGGGGCTAGCAGCGTCCTCACACCTCCCTTCTATTCCCAGGAGTGAAACGCCCCAGGTGCCCCCTCAATTACTTTGCCTGCCCCAGTGGGCGATGCATCCCCGTGAGCTGGACGTGTGACAAAGAAGATGACTGTGAGCATGGCGAAGATGAGACCCACTGCAGTGAGTGACCCTGGCCCCCACGGCACCCGCCACCGCACCAAGACCCTCCCCGGGCCCCACCTCCTAGTCCTTACGCAAAGTGCCCTTCATGGAGAAGACCCTAGTTTTCCACTTAGGCCTCACTCTCTCAGACTCAAGAGTAGGGTCACGTTAGCTTTCGATGAGCCGCGTGGGAGGGGGCGCTGTGGGCATCCCTCCTGCCTTTCCTGTCTGCTGTCTCACTGCGTTCTCCGACCATTCCAGACAAGTTCTGCTCAGAGGCTCAGTTTGAGTGTCAGAACCACCGTTGCATCTCCAAACAGTGGCTATGTGATGGCAGTGATGACTGCGGGGACGGCTCGGACGAAGCGGCTCACTGTGGTAAGACCCGGGAACACGCACTGGCCCCGCCTCCCCACGGAAGAGTCCACACGTCGGTGGGGCGGGTCATCAGGGCTGCCCACGAGGCCCTGGCCTCTCCTGAGTCCCTCTGTCTTCTTGGTCCTCACGCAGAAGGCAAGACTTGTGGCCCCTCCTCCTTCTCCTGTCCTGGCACCCATGTGTGCGTCCCTGAGCGCTGGCTCTGTGACGGTGACAAGGACTGCGCTGATGGTGCCGATGAGAGCATCTCAGCCGGCTGCTGTGAGTGGGAGAGGCCACGAGGAACGGGTGGGAAGCAGGCATCAGAGCAGCCATGCCTTGCAAATGCCAGCAAATGAGGTCAGGCGTCGGGACAGCTTCAGTGGGAGCCACACGTTTTGTTAGCGCAGAGCCAAGACTTTAGCTCCTGTGTCCAGACACGCCCCCCACCGCCCCATCCAGCGCCCTACCCATCCTACCTCTCACATCCCAGGAGACCCCAGGATGGGGACGGGACCGCCATCAGCTGATAGGGCAGGCTGGAGCAGGGCAGGCCTGAGGGGGGTTCTGCCTGTGTCCCCAGTGTACAACAGCACCTGTGACGACCGTGAGTTCATGTGCCAGAACCGCCTGTGCATTCCCAAGCATTTCGTGTGTGACCATGACCGGGACTGTGCAGACGGCTCTGATGAGTCCCCCGAGTGCGGTGAGTCCTGCCGCCGGAGGAGCCCTGCCTAGCTGTGCTCGCACTGTGCCTGGGCGGACGGCAGCCTCATCGCCCCCTCCCCCCACAGAGTACCCAACCTGCGGCCCCAATGAGTTCCGCTGTGCCAACGGGCGTTGCCTGAGCTCCCGCCAGTGGGAGTGCGATGGCGAGAATGATTGCCACGACCAGAGTGACGAGGCCCCCAAGAACCCGCACTGCACCAGCCCGGGTGAGCTCCGGCCCCTTTCTCCTCCTCCCCCCCTCTCCACCCCTCACTAACTGTTCCCACCCTCCGCAGAGCACAAATGCAACGCCTCATCGCAGTTCCTGTGCAGCAGCGGGCGCTGCGTGGCTGAGGCGCTGCTCTGCAATGGCCAGGATGACTGTGGGGACGGCTCTGACGAACGCGGGTGCCACGTCAACGAGTGTCTTAACCGCAAGCTCAGTGGCTGCAGCCAGGACTGTGAGGACCTTAAGATAGGCTTTAAGGTACGCCTGGGCCCGGACAGTTTGCCCCACCCCTCGTTCATTCATGAAGCTCATTCTGACTCTCACTCTGCACAGTGTGCTAGGCTCTGGGGGTGTGACTGTTGGAGTCACCGTCGGTGTGGGTTTGTTCACAGGCGAGACAAAGGCTAAGAGAGAAGTCAAGAGTGAGGCCAGCAAGCAGACAACAGATATGTAGCTTAGAGTTCAAGGGAAAGGCCCAGCCTGGAGGAAGAATTGTGACCCTGGAGGTGCTATTTAACCCCCCAAGGAAGTGAACATAGTTGGTATAAAAGAGCTTTAGCCTGTGCTAAGCTGCACTGAGGGACTGTGAGGGACAGGGACACCACCAAGGTAGGATGACAGCCACGTGAGAGAACCTCTGGGGACAGGGTGCACAGATCACTGTCTATGTGAGCTCACTGTCTGTGTGAGCTCACTGTCTGTGAGAGATCACTCTCTGTGTGAGATCACTGTCTGTGTGAGATCACTGTCTGTGAGAGATCACTGTCTGTGTGAGATCACTGTCTGTGTGAGATCACTGTCTGTGTGAGATCACTGTCTGTGTGAGATCACTGTGTGAGATCACTCTGTGAGATCACTCTGTGAGAGATCACTGTCTGTGTGAGATCACTGTCTGTGTGAGATCACTGTCTGTGTGAGATCACTGTCTATGTGAGATCACTGTCTGTGAGATCACTCTCTGTGAGAGATCACTCTCTGTGAGAGATCACTGTCTGTGGGAGATCACTGTCTGTGAAATCACTCTCTGTGTGAGATCACTGTCTGTGTGAGATCACTGTGAGAGATCACTGTCTGTGTGAGATCACTGTCTGTGTGAGATCACTGTCTGTGTGAGATCACTGTCTGTGTGAGATCACTGTCTGTATGAGATCACTCTCTGTGAGAGATCACTCTCTGTGAGAGATCACTGTCTGTGAGAGATCACTGTCTGTGTGAGATCACTGTCTGTGTGAGATCACTGTGTGAGAGATCACTGTGTGAGAGATCACTCTCTGAGTGAGATCACTGTCTGTGAGAGATCACTGTCTGTGTGAGATCGCTGTCTATGTGAGATCACTGTCTGTGTGAGATCACTCTCTGTGTGAGATCACTGTCTGTGTGAGCTCACTGTCTGTGTGAGCTCACTGTCTGTGTGAGATCGCTGTCTATGTGAGATCACTGTCTGTGTGAGATCACTCTCTGTGTGAGATCACTGTCTGTGAGAGATCACTGTCTGTGTGAGCTCACTGTCTGTGTGAGATCACTGTCTATGTGAGATCACTGTCTGTGTGAGATCACTGTCTGTGAGAGATCACTGTCTGTGTGAGATCACTGTCTGTGTGAGATCACTGTCTGTGTGAGATCACTCTCTGTGTGAGATCACTCTCTGTGTGAGATCACTCTCTGTGTGTCACTTGCCTTGCGTGCCCTCCAGAGGTCCTCCTGGTCCCTGGTTTGCAAACGGGGAAGCCCAGACCCCTGCTTCGTCCTCAGCCCCGGATTCCCTGTGTCCACAGTGCCGCTGTCGCCCTGGCTTCCGGCTTAAAGACGACGGCAAGACGTGTGCTGACGTGGACGAGTGCAGCACCACCTTCCCCTGCGGCCAGCTCTGCATGAACACCCATGGCAGTTACAAGTGTCTGTGTGTGGAGGGCTACGCACCCCGTGGTGGCGACCCCCACAGCTGCAAAGCTGTGACTGGTGAGGCGGGCACGTGGAGGGTGAGATATAGTTCAGACAGCTGTGCGCTAGGGCAAGGGGTGGCAGGTAGGGAGAGGGTGTGGGACAGCATAGCCAGAGATATAAAAGCTACCAGAACGTTCCTGAGCCAGGACCCTTCTCCTACAGACGAGGAGCCGTTCCTCATCTTTGCTAACCGGTACTACCTGCGCAAGCTCAACCTGGATGGCTCCAACTACACACTGCTTAAGCAGGTGCCCAAACCCAAGCCTTCCTCACAGCCACCACTGCCCGGGTCCAGTACCGCCTCCCCAGTTCTTCCCACTTGGGCCCCTGGTTGTCTCCTACTGCCTCTCCCTTCAGCCACGTCGACTTCAGACACACTTCCCCAGAGACACCCTTCCCTAAACACGCATGTGCCCCGCAGCAGCTGACTTCCCTGTGTCCCTTCTGAACCAGGGCCTGAACAATGCTGTTGCTTTGGACTTTGACTACCGAGAGCAGATGATCTACTGGACGGACGTGACCACCCAGGGCAGCATGATCCGAAGGATGCACCTTAATGGTAGCAACGTGCAGGTGAAGAGAAGGGCTGTCCCTGGTCAGCTGACTGGCACGCGTGGGGCCCCGCAGACGAGCCCCCACCCCTCCGCACACAGCTCATCTCCTCTGCCGGCACTGTTCCTTCCTCTCGGAGCCACAGAAACACCCTGCCTGTTCCAGCCTCTCCCTCCCTGCACTCAGTGCAAGGACATTCTGTGCGCACTGGGCGTGTGTTGGTGTTCCTGGGGCCCCTGCTGATAATCACCTTGTGTTGGGCTCGGAACAGGACATTTAGCTCTATCATCTTCCTGATGAGGCCAGAGCAGGAGTTGTGCTCTGTTCATGGGAGGGAGAACCCAGGCCCCGGAGACCGAGGGTTCCACTCGGGCTTCTCCCGCCCTGTGTTCCCTGCAGGTGCTGCACCGGACTGGCCTCAGTAACCCAGATGGGCTGGCTGTGGACTGGGTGGGTGGCAACCTGTACTGGTGTGACAAAGGCAGAGACACCATTGAGGTGTCCAAGCTCAACGGGGCCTACCGGACAGTGCTGGTCAGCTCTGGCCTCCGTGAGCCCAGGGCCCTAGTGGTGGACGTGCAGAATGGGTAAGTGGCCAGGCGCGGAGGGTGGAGCCCTGGGAAGCAAGCCCGGCTCTCTGTAGCTTCAGGCGTCATCGGTCTCTAGACTCTTGGGGTTCACTGTCCGTCCCCACCTGCCAGGTACCTCTACTGGACGGACTGGGGTGACCACTCGCTGATCGGTCGGATCGGCATGGACGGGTCTGGCCGCAGCGTCATTGTGGACACTAAGATCACATGGCCCAACGGTCTGACGCTGGACTACGTCACGGAACGAATCTATTGGGCTGACGCCCGTGAGGACTACATTGAGTTTGCCAGCCTGGACGGCTCCAATCGCCACGTTGGTCCGTATGCTAGTGAGGCTGCCCAAGGCCAGCAGGCCTGACCTGCCTGTGATCTAAAGTGATGGGGTAGGGTGTGGGGGCGGGCAGGAGGGCATCGTGTACAGAAACCACAAACCAGGGGCCTGGGGGTTTCAAATACCCTGGTGTTTCTCCTGGACTGGCCCAGGTACCAGGCCAGCCGGCTCCTTGCGGGGGAAGGGAATTCCAGGTGCCCCGGGATGATGGCCTGAGGGCTGGGCACATGAGAACTGTCTGAGGAACGTCCGTGCTCTGTACCTCTGTGGAGGGGCCGTGTGCTCCTGTAGAGCGTGACTGTCGGGCAGGCTGTCAGTACAACCTTCGGAAGCCATAGAAACGTCTGCAACTGGAGCTCATTCCCAGCTCAGGATGGTGGTGGGAGGTCAAGCAGGCAGGGAACCTGATCTGTACTTGGTGCCAACAAAGGCTGTGTCTTCCCGACTTCCCTCCCACAGTGCTGAGCCAAGACATCCCACACATCTTTGCACTGACCCTGTTTGAAGACTACGTCTACTGGACAGACTGGGAAACCAAGTCCATCAACCGAGCCCACAAGACCACAGGTGCCAACAAAACCCTGCTCATCAGCACCCTGCACCGGCCCATGGACCTCCACGTCTTCCACGCCCTGCGCCAGCCGGACGGTGAGCAAGCAGGTGTGGCGGGGAGCGCAGGGGCGACAGGACACCACGAGTGGACCGTGCATGAAAGACCCTGTTCTCAGGACTGCTCAGGACACACAGCCTCAGCGGGAGTTCCTGCTCCTCCCTCCCTGGCTCTGACTGGGCATCCCTGCCAGGGAGCAGACTTACAGAGGCTATAGACAGCATGGCCAGGCCCTTAGCAGTCCATCCAGGATTCAACACAGGTCTCCTGGCAGCCACACCCTGAAGTTAGGGAGCGCAGAGCATAGTGAGTATGGGCCAAGAGCATCAAAGGAAACCAAGCCTGAGCTGATCCTGGGCCGTGAGAGGTCCTTTCCCATCTCCGTTCTCAATCCCTAACGAAGGCGGTGGGCTAAAGATCTACCGTGCCTCTGAGCAGGATGGAGCCGACTAGACATTCTTTAGAGGGCTAGAGACCATTCCCATCAGGACCACCCTCACAGTCAGAAACCCGTGGCCTAAGAGAGTCGTATACCAGACCAGTCATGACCTCCGGCCTCATTCTCTCCGGCAGTGCCCAATCACCCCTGCAAAGTCAACAACGGTGGCTGCAGCAACCTGTGCCTGCTGTCCCCTGGCGGTGGTCACAAATGTGCCTGCCCCACCAACTTCTATCTGGGTGGTGATGGCCGTACTTGTGTGTCCAACTGCACAGCTAGCCAGGTAAGGCTCCCCTCAAGACTCCCACTGTCCCATGCCTCAGTCCCCTGACCCCTCACGCCAGGGTCCCCGAACCCACACCTGGCATCCCGTGCTGACAGGTGCTGACACCTCCACGTATCTTGCCTACCTCTTGTCTCCGCACAGCAATACGTTTACACTTGTCACCTTACAGATACCTCTGTCATACCATCTTTTTTTTTTTTTTGGTTTTTCGAGACAGGGTTTCTCTGTGGCTTTGAAGGCTGTCCTGGAATTAGCTCTTGTAGACCAGGCTGGCCTCGAACTCACAGAGATCCGCCTGCCTCTGCCTCTCAAGTGCTGGGATTAAAGGCGTGCGCCACCAATGCCCTACCTCTGTACCCTAATGCCGACCTCACCAGTGCCACGAGCCCTCATCTTCCCATGTCTCCCGTACAGACACCCCTCATCTGGCCTTCCTTTGTCATATCCCAAGTGTCTGTCCAGCTCTTCCTCCCCACAAACTGTAACCCCACCACTTCCTCTGAAGCATCTCTGCCCCTTGAAAGGAAATCTTTTCTGAGGTCCCCCAAGCCCCCACCAACCCCATCTTACCCCGCCTGTCCTCCAGTTTGTGTGCAAGAACGACAAATGCATCCCCTTCTGGTGGAAGTGTGACACTGAGGATGACTGCGGAGACCACTCGGACGAGCCCCCGGACTGTCGTGAGTGTCCAGGGTGTGGGAGGGGTGCAAAGCCCTCCCTGGCCACCAGGGGCAGAGACTGCAGTGACTTACTTGCTCCCTGTTAGCTCTGCGTGTGCGTGTGTACGTGTGTATGTGTGTGTGTGTGTGTGTGTGATTTGTGAATACAGGCATGTGCACGTGCCCTGGTGAATGTGGAGGTCAGCGGGTAACTGTCAGAAATCCCTTCTCTACTCTCACCTTGGGTTCTGTGTGTGCGCACGTGAGTGTGTGTGTGTGCGCGCGTGCGTGATTTGTGAATACAGGCATGTGCACGTGCCCTGGTGAATGTGGAGGTCAGCGGGTAACTGTCAGAAATCCCTTCTCTACTCTCACCTTGGGTTCCGAGGATCATCAGGGTCGTCAGGCCCAGGTGACAAATGTCACTGGGCCCTCTCATTTTCTACTCTCCTGACACTGAGCCTCCTTCTCGGCAGCCGAGTTCAAGTGCCGCCCAGGCCAGTTCCAGTGCTCAACCGGGATCTGCACCAACCCTGCCTTCATCTGTGATGGCGACAATGACTGCCAAGACAACAGTGATGAGGCCAACTGTGGTAAGGGCTGCCTAGACGCCATTGCTTCCCCAACTGTGGTAAGGGCTGCCTAGACGCCATTGCTTCCCCAACTGTGATAAGGGCTGCCTAGACGTCATTCCTTCCCCAACTGTGGTAAGGGCTGCCTAGACGCCATTGCTTCCCCAACTGTGGTAAGGGCTGCCTAGACGCCATTGCTTCCCCGGCTCTTGTGGTTTAGAAAGGAAGCAACGGCCTGCAGCAGCTTTTTCTCTCGGCTACGTTTGTGCCTCTCAGCCCCACCCCTGCCCACGAAGGACACGGAGGCCCCACCTGCCCCGAGTCCTCCACTGATCATTAGTTACCTCCCCTTCTCCCACCGCCAGACATTCACGTCTGCCTGCCCAGCCAGTTCAAGTGCACCAACACCAACCGCTGCATTCCCGGCATCTTCCGTTGCAATGGGCAGGACAACTGCGGGGACGGCGAAGATGAACGGGACTGCCGTGAGTGCCAGGTTCAGGGGAGTGGGCGGGGCACTGCCACCCGCTGTCCTTGAGGGGTGTTATGGGTCACGCTGGGTGTCTCCTGGTTTGCTTATAAAACAACTGTGTTCAGTATGGAGAGTCGGGAGATCCAGAAGACCAGTCTGAGGTTAAACCATTCCCTCCTCCTCACCAAGACCAGGGCTGGGCCTTTGGAAGAGGGAAGACCCGGTGACCAGAAGCTGGGAGGAGGCGTAAGGGTAAGAGGTCCTCATTCTCTCATCTACCTTGCAGCTGAGGTAACCTGCGCCCCCAACCAGTTCCAATGCTCTATCACCAAGCGCTGCATCCCCCGTGTCTGGGTCTGTGACAGGGACAATGACTGTGTGGACGGCAGCGATGAGCCCGCCAACTGCAGTGAGTTGCCCATTGTCCCTGGGGCCCATCTTCCCCTGCAGTACCTATGACTGCATTACTCCAACACACGCACGCACACACGCATGCACACGCATGCACACACGCATGCACACACGCACACATGCACACACGTACACACGCACGCACGCGCACACACGCACGCACACATATACACACACGCATGCACACACACTCACGCGCACGCACACACGCACGCACGCAGGCACGCTCCCCTGGGCTGCAACCTTTGCCAGATGGTTCCCCATGGGGACTCCTCACCCTGCCCGTGTTCTGCAGCCCAGATGACCTGTGGAGTAGACGAGTTCCGCTGCAAGGACTCAGGCCGCTGCATCCCGGCGCGCTGGAAGTGTGACGGCGAGGACGACTGTGGCGACGGCTCGGATGAACCCAAGGAAGAGTGTGGTAAGCGGTCTCGGGTTAGGAAGAGTGTGGTAAGCGGTCTCGGGTTAGGGGCGGAAGGCAGTTCAGGGACGGACAGGTCTCGGCGTGGCCCCCGGTGCCGCGTCTTGTGGCCACTGTAGAGCCGACTCAGGGACGCTTTCCCGTAGTCCCCCTTGTTCCTCTCTCTAGCCACTCCCAGAAGAGGGTCACACAGAACCTTCTGTGACCGCTCTGTTCATCTGTCCCCCGAGTCAGCCGCCTTCCCCATACATTGTCCATCTTGCCCGGACCCTCCTGTAGATGCCACACTGTCTACAGCAAGGGCGTCACTGCCTGAGCCCCGGAGACAGCTTTCCCCAGACTGCAGGGACCGCCTTCCCGCCGTCACCATACTCACCTGCCCACCCTAGACTTGCCGTCTGCCGCCCACTCCATCCCCGACGGCCCTGACAGCTCCCTCCACGTCTTGCCTCCCCAGATGAGCGGACCTGCGAGCCGTACCAGTTCCGCTGCAAGAACAACCGCTGTGTGCCCGGCCGCTGGCAGTGTGACTACGACAACGACTGTGGGGACAACTCTGACGAGGAGAGCTGCAGTATGTCCTCATCCTGCCCACCGTCCCTCCCCGGCCTCGGAATCCCCCTCCCGCCGCTGCTGCGCGGGGGGCCCTCCCAGGGCAAGGGTCAGGAACCCCTCCGCCGCTCCCCATGCCACCATGTCATGTATTTGAGCCATTTCACCTCATCTCATGTCTCTCTCCATTTTCACACTGTCCTTTGGGGTTGCAGAGGTAGGTGTCTCTGTTGTGCCCCTGCTCCCGCCGCCTCTGCCTCCGCCCCAGAGCCTTGCCCATCCCCGTGCTGTCCTTCTGCCCGTCATCCTGACTGGCCCCTCCCAGACCCGCTGCTTGTCTCAGTGGTCTTGCCCCTCCCCCCACCATGGCCTGTCCTACGGACAGGCCCAGGGACCCATGCCCTCCCCTGCGTGTCTGTGCCTAGTGCGATAAGTGAATACCCCCTTTGCCCAGCCAGTCTCATGAGGACAGCCAGTTAGCTGCCTGGGTTTGGTTGAGCTGATCATCACTCCAGTCAGCAGTGGCCTCCGCGGGCGTAGGAATGAGCCTTGGGCTTGGGAGTGGTGCATCCGAGGGCTGGGATGCCCACTGGCTGGGGCCTGTCTTTCCACAGCCCCTCGGCCGTGCTCCGAGAGTGAGTTCTCCTGTGCCAACGGCCGCTGCATCGCCGGGCGCTGGAAGTGCGACGGGGATCATGACTGTGCCGACGGCTCAGACGAGGCGAGCAGAGGGGTCTCGAGGAAGCGGGTGGCCTCGGAATTAGGGCAGGGCCCCAGGGGCCTGACCAGACTGCTGGCTCCCACACCCACAGAAAGACTGCACCCCTCGCTGTGACATGGACCAGTTCCAGTGCAAGAGTGGCCACTGCATCCCCCTGCGCTGGCGCTGTGATGCGGACGCCGACTGCATGGATGGCAGTGATGAGGAAGCCTGTGGCACTGGGGGTGAGCCCCAGCCTGGCATCGCCACCCCCACCTCCCCCAGACCTCGTGGGGCCAACTTCCTTCATTCACTGTTCCTGCAGCAAGCCTCTATTGAGCGTGTACTGAGAGCCAAGCACTGTCCTAGGTGTTAGGCAAAGCTCAGGCGTTTTCCTGCAGGCTCTGTCCTAACCTTGCTAAGGGGGCTAGCTAGGTGGGAATCCAGCAGGAGGCTGCAGGCTGTGCCCACCCACCACCCTACGCACCCCCAGCTGGCTGTGTTAAAGGCGGGTCCTGCTCACCATCCTCCCCTGGAGGTGTCAGTGAGCCAGGGTCTGCTCCGTGGCCTGGGGGAGCAGTGTGACACCTGTCAGGAGAGGAACTGAGGGCCGGAGCAGGGGTTCCCACCTGGAAGGCAGCCTTCCTGGTTCTCCCGTAGGCTGAGGGTCATGACCTAAAGCCTGCGCCTGCCACAGGCTACACTAGGCTCAAGGTTCGTATGTCATCTGCTCAGAAAGAGCACCCATGTGGACCCACCCTGAAGCAGCCTCTCCTCCCCTAAATACCAGCAGGAGCCGTTGCCCCTCTGCCAGCTGGGCAGGCAATTGAGACCCCCTGGCCTCCAGCTCCTCTGGAGACCCCTAGGCCCCTGCCCCACCCAGGGAAGGAGTGGCAGACTGGCTCCTGCAGCCGCATTCATTCCCGTGTCTTGGTTCCCTCTCCCAGTGCGGACCTGCCCCTTGGATGAATTCCAGTGCAATAACACCCTCTGCAAGCCGCTGGCCTGGAAGTGCGACGGCGAGGACGACTGTGGGGATAACTCTGACGAGAACCCTGAGGAATGCGGTGAGACTGAGGACGGAGCTAGGCAGGGTCGGGGTGCCCAAGGCGAGGGCAGACCATGGGGGGGCATGACCCCCGCACTCCCTGGTGGCCACCTAGCCCCACCCCTCACCCCCAAGACTGATGTGGCTGTTTCCTGGCCTCCACAGTCCGGTTCGTGTGTCCTCCCAACCGGCCCTTCCGTTGCAAGAACGACCGCGTCTGCCTGTGGATCGGGCGCCAGTGTGACGGCACCGACCACTGCGGCGATGGGACCGACGAGGAGGACTGTGGTGAGCTGGGGGCGGGGCCGGGGGCGGGGCTGCATCGGGGAGCGGGCGGGGCTGCCAGGCTGAAGGTGGGGCCTAGCTCTGGGGCGAGGTTTTAGAGGACACCCACGCCCACCCCCTCAGCTTGATGAGCAGACAGGACGCACCTGTGCTGTCAAGATCTCTGTGGAAGGAGGAGGGGCGGTGTGGTCCGTACCCAGAGCCTGAAGCCTCTTCCCTCCCCAGAGCCCCCAACGACCCAGAACCCCCACTGCAAGGACAAGAAGGAGTTCCTTTGCCGCAACCAGCGCTGTCTGTCATCCTCGCTGCGCTGTAACATGTTTGATGACTGTGGAGATGGCTCCGATGAGGAGGACTGCAGCATCGGTAGGAGCAGGCGCGAGAGCAGAGGGGAGGTGCCAGGGGCGGGGCTTAGATGCCAGGGCGGGGCTTAGATGCCAGGGCGGGGCTTAGATGCCAGGGCGGGGCTTAGGTGAGGGAATCCACGGTTTGTCCCCACAGACCCCAAGCTGACCAGCTGCGCCACCAACGCCAGCATCTGTGGGGATGAAGCCCGTTGCATGCGCACCGAGAAAGCCGCCTACTGTGCCTGCCGCCCAGGCTTCCACACTGTGCCGGGCCAGTCCGGATGCCAGGGTAGGAAAGCTGGACGGGAGACGGATGGGCGGGAACCCCAGCTCCCAGACCCCCCATGACCCTCGATGTAACCCCCAGACATCAACGAGTGTCTGCGCTTCGGCACCTGCTCACAGCTCTGCAACAACACCAAGGGCGGCCACCTCTGCAGCTGCGCCCGCAACTTCATGAAGACACACAATACCTGCAAGGCGGAAGGTGCCGGAGGGGGGAAGACAGGAAGGGTGGGTGGGTGGGGCAAGGCCACAGGGGCGGCGAATGGAATGGGGCATTCCCAAGTATACTTCATTGCTCAGGCATGGCCCCCAGACCCACGGCACACTGTGACGCCATCCTGAGTGAGCGCGTGCGCGCACACACGCACGCACACACGCGCGCGCACGCACACACAGCCGCCCTAGGTTAACAGGACAGTTAGACCCAGTCGCATGGGCCTGCTTGCATATCCCCCACCCATGCTCTGACAGGGCATTGCACCTTCCATGTGCCCGTGCTCACACACCACACACGCACATGGGCGTGTGTATACACCAGCAAGAGGGCTCCCGTGCCATGTACATACACCCCACATGCCTGTCCCCCTCAGCAAGTCTACCCAGAGACCACAGGCAGAATTCCTGGAGCTGTTGGGTAGGGAGGTGGGACGCAAAGACAGATTTCTGGAGGGCATGGTCATTCCGTTATCAGTTTGGGACACAGGTTGGAGTCCTCAGCCTGATGCTGGAGGCACCATTACCAGAAACATCCCTTTCTGTCTGAAACAAATGGAGGCTACTGCAGAATGCCAGGATCTTGCCTGGAGATTGCTTGGCCGCATGAGTTCCTGGGATCGAACTTGGGCCCTGGGCTCTTGTCTGCGCCTCTCACGCCCTCTGACAGGTGGGCTCTGGCTCTGGCAGGTTCCGAGTACCAGGTCCTCTACATCGCTGATGACAATGAGATCCGCAGCTTGTTTCCCGGGCACCCGCACTCAGCCTACGAGCAGACCTTCCAGGGCGATGAGAGCGTCCGGATAGACGCCATGGATGTGCACGTCAAGGCCGGCCGTGTCTACTGGACTAACTGGCACACAGGCACAATCTCCTATCGGAGCCTGCCGCCTGCTGCACCTCCTACCACCTCCAACCGTCACCGGAGACAGATCGACCGGGGTGTCACTCACCTCAATGTAAGTGCCAGCCTGGCAGATCCGGGGGGAGAGCAGAACAGTGCTTGCAAAGGACGGTGGGAGCTGGCAGAGCGGAAGGCGAGAACGCAGGGCAGTCGGGATTGCCTGTTGAACCACAGCAGACACCAGGACAGACTGACCTTCGAGTCGGTCACAAGCCTCTCACTCCTCCATGTCACTATTGACCAGCTTGTTCAACTACCTGGGGCCTCACTTTACCAACGGATGAGTAATACCGACCCCAGGCTTACGTAGAGTTCAGCAGTAGAATGTGTGAAGTCCTAGGTTTGATCCCAGCAACAGCAATGAAAATAGAACCACAATAATGATAAATAAATACCTAGTCTTAGCCAGGCGGTGGTGCCTCACCAGGAGGCAGAGGCAAGCGGATCTCTGTGAGTTCGAGGCCAGCCTGGTCTACAGAGCGAGTTCCAGGACAGCCTCCAAAGCAATACAGAGAAAGCCTGTCTCAGAAAAAAAAAATGTCAGAGGACAACTTGGAGTTATTTCTCTACATATGAGTCTCAGGGATTTGAACTCAGGTCACTAGGCTTGGCAACAAGCACTGTTATCCAGAGTCATCTCACTGCCCCCACCCGGCCCCGTAGCCTTTTTGTCTAAGTGAGGATTAACTAGAAAAACATGAAGATGTGCCGGGCATGGTGGCCCCGCCTGTGATTCCAGCTGTAACAGAGGGAAACAAAAGGATAAGAGGTCAGCCTGGGCTACACAGTGAGTTCCAGATCCGCCTGAGCTTCGATAGAGACCGAGCCCAAGGAGAAAAGATCCTGCAGACTGACTGTAGCCGTGTTGGTCAGGGGGCGACAGAGTTGGGGATGGGGATAATGGACTGGAAGACAGACGGTGATCCCTAAATACGTGACGCCGCTTAGATTTCAGGGCTGAAGATGCCCAGAGGGATTGCCATCGACTGGGTGGCCGGAAACGTGTACTGGACCGACTCTGGCCGGGACGTGATCGAGGTGTCGCAAATGAAGGGCGAGAACCGCAAGACACTCATCTCGGGCATGATTGACGAGCCCCACGCCATCGTTGTGGACCCGCTGAGGGGGTGGGCAAGGGCCCTGGGGGGAGGGGTTTGGGCTGGTGTCAGGAAGCCCTTAGGACAGGCCCAGCATCCGCAGGCTTCTGGTCCTCCTCCAGCCACTGCTGGGGACTCCCAGTTGAATGGCTCCCCTCTGCCTCACTGGCTGCCCTGTGTAGCCCTGGGTGTCCCCCAGGGGGCATCTGTCCCTTTAGGTGTTACTGGCTTAGCATCTTGTAGTTATGATGCTAACCTGGAACAGAGGTTGTCTCCTGGGTCTCATTGCGAAGCGGGCGGGCATCTTCCTCCTGTTGCTCAGTGGCATCCATACCAGGCCAGGTGCTCTGTCGCACTGTGGTCTTTTCGGTGGCCCTGGAGGACACCCCGCTCTTATCTCTCCCTCCGTAGTACCATGTACTGGTCAGACTGGGGCAACCATCCCAAGATTGAAACAGCAGCGATGGATGGGACCCTGCGAGAGACTCTCGTGCAGGACAACATCCAGTGGCCCACAGGTCCCTGGGGCAGGGCGAGGGTGTGGGAGGGACAGGGCTCCGATCCCAGCCGCTTCAAAAGTCACCCAAAATTGAGGGCAGCGGGGCAGGTCGGGCTAAGGGCCGTGGGAACGTTTTCCAGATGGGTGGTTGGGAGAGCTCACATGAGCCAGGTTGCTGCCCTGGACACCAGACAGAATCGGTTCTATTCTCTGCACCCAGCCTGGCGTGGCAGAGGCTGAGTCCTCACAGCGATTCTCTCACCTCAGGCCTGGCTGTGGATTATCACAATGAGCGGCTATACTGGGCGGATGCCAAGCTTTCAGTCATCGGCAGCATCCGGCTCAATGGCACCGACCCCATCGTGGCTGCTGATGGCAAACGAGGTCAGGACGGAGGCAGGGTGGTCCCTAACCCGGCCCTTAGGCCTCCCACCTTCCTACTGAGTCCAAAGACCGCGCTTCCTGCTTCTGTCCTTCAGATAGCCTGGTCCTACCAATATTAAGTTCTGTGGAGTCAGCAAGGGAGAGAACTTGGCAGATGAGGGGAGGGAAAGCCAAAGTCCTGTGGCCCCTGAAGTCTTGGAATGACGAGACCGTTTGCCAGTAGTGGGGCAGGAATCGTTAGTTTGGATGGAGTCCAGTGTCTTAGATAGTGAGTCCAGGACGCAGGCAGCCATCTTGTTTTAATCTGACCCTTCTTCCTCCCCCAGGCCTCACTCACCCCTTCAGCATCGACGTGTTTGAGGATTACATCTACGGTGTCACTTACATCAATAATCGTGTCTTCAAGATCCACAAGTTCGGACACAGCCCCCTGATCAACCTGACTGGGAGCCTGAGCCACGCCTCGGACGTGGTCCTTTACCATCAGCACAAGCAGCCTGAGGGTGTGCTAGCGGGGAAGCCCAGGGTGTGGAGGGGAAGGCCAGGGAGGAGGGAGTGTTCTAGATCCACAGGGCGCAGGACGAGCCCTGCTCAGCGTCTGTCCCTTCCACACACCTGCAGTGACCAACCCCTGTGACCGCAAGAAGTGTGAGTGGCTGTGTCTCCTGAGCCCCAGCGGGCCTGTCTGTACCTGTCCCAATGGAAAGAGACTGGATAACGGCACCTGTGTGCCCGTGCCCTCCCCAACGCCCCCTCCGGATGGTAGGCACACTCCTCAGTACCCCAGGATCCCTTTCCTACAGCCGCTGGTTTCGCCACCCCTGGGCCCTGCTCTGTGCCCTGACGAGTTCTTCTCACAGCCCCTAGGCCTGGAGCCTGCGCCGTGCAGTGCTTCAATGGCGGCAGCTGTTTCCTCAACGCCCGAAGGCAGCCCAAGTGCCGCTGCCAGCCGCGCTACACGGGCGACAAGTGTGAGCTGGACCAGTGCTGGGGGTACTGTCGCAACGGGGGCACCTGTGCTGCTTCCCCCTCCGGTATGTCCAGCCAGGACTGGTCCTTGCCCCCCACGCCGGCCCCCAACCCTCAGGCAGCCGCCGCCTCCTTCTGTTGCCCCCGCATCCAACCCCCCTGCTTGTGACCACCCTGGGTCCCGCCCAGCTCTGTTAGGGGCTCCAGTGGTTCCCAGTGCCACGGTCCCACTCACGAATCCTCTCCCGTCAGGCATGCCCACGTGCCGGTGCCCCACAGGCTTCACGGGCCCCAAATGCACCCAGCAGGTGTGTGCGAGCTACTGCGCCAACAATAGCACCTGCACCGTCAACCAGGGCAACCAGCCCCAGTGCCGATGTCTGCCTGGCTTCCTGGGTGATCGGTGCCAGTACCGTGAGTGACCATCCCAGCCCCAGGGACGGAAGAGGGAAGCAGGAACCCCCAGGGGGGCAAGTGCAGAGGAGGGAAGCCATATGGAGATGGACCTCGCCCAGGCTGTGGGCGCTGTCCACCTTCCTGGTGTAGGGAGCCTCCAGGCACCAGGATTATCCAACAAGATGAATGTTTGGGGACATGCTTGTGTCCTGGGGTCTGTCACAGGGCCACAGGGGCTCAGGAGGCGGTGGGAGTCATCTCTAGGTCGTGGAGTTTCCCGGCCCCTGCATAATGAACCCTTACGAAGGTGGGGCTTGGGGTACTTTCTCTCCATTCCCAACCACAGGGCAGTGCTCAGACTACTGTGAGAACTTTGGCACCTGCCAGATGGCTGCCGACGGCTCCCGACAATGTCGCTGCACTGTCTACTTCGAGGGACCGAGGTGCGAGGTGACCAAGTGTAGCCGCTGTCTCCAAGGAGCCTGTGTGGTCAACAAGCAGACTGGAGATGTCACTTGCAAGTGAGTGGGTCCCTGCCCGCACACTCTGCCCTGTCACAGCTGTCACGCCCCTCTCCTGCCGCCCCTAGCCCACCACAGGCACCTGCCAGCCCCTTCTCCAGATGCTGATTCCTTTCTGCAGCTGCACTGACGGCCGGATAGCCCCCAGTTGTCTGACCTGTGTTGATCACTGCAGCAATGGTGGCTCCTGCACCATGAACAGCAAGATGATGCCCGAGTGCCAGTGAGTTGGTCCCGAGCCTCCCCACGATAGGATGTCCCCTCCCTCAGATCTGAGCAGAACCATCCAGGATAGGATGCCCCCTCCCTCAGATCTGAGCAGAACTATCCGGCCCCTGTGCAACTACAGAGGCGACGCTTGCCCACTCAGTGTTCACTCAGCGTTGCTTTCCTGCCTGCAGGTGCCCACCCCATATGACAGGACCGCGTTGCGAGGACCACGTCGTCAGCCAGCAGCAGCCTGGTCGTGAGTGGTGGGATGAGTGGCCGGCGCTGCCTATACCTAGCGAGAGCTTTGGGCCCCATCTCTCTGTGCCTCAGACTCAGTTTTCCGACTTCTCTCTCCAGATATGGCCTCCATCCTGATCCCTCTTCTGTTGCTCCTGCTGCTGCTTCTGGTGGCAGGAGTGGTATTCTGGTATAAGCGGCGAGTCCGAGGGTGAGCCACTGCAAGTCTGGAAAGTTCTGTCATCTTACCACCCCCTTTGCCTTCATCACTGTTACCTGACTCCTGCCTCTCCCCAGGGCCAAGGGCTTCCAGCACCAGCGGATGACCAATGGGGCCATGAATGTGGAAATCGGGAACCCCACCTACAAGATGTACGAAGGTGGAGAGCCTGATGATGTCGGGGGCCTCCTGGATGCCGATTTCGCCCTTGACCCTGACAAGGTAGACCGGAGGCCATCGAAGGGGCTTCCAGGGCCCAAGGACTGGGGTGTGGCAGGACGACTAGAGGTGTTGTACGAATGATGGCTCAGAAGTGGGAGCTGGAATGTTCTAACCCTCTCAACCCTCCTCTACCGGTTTTGCAGCCTACCAACTTCACCAACCCCGTGTACGCCACGCTCTACATGGGGGGCCATGGCAGCCGCCACTCCCTGGCCAGCACGGACGAGAAGCGAGAACTCCTGGGCCGGGGACCTGAGGACGAGACAGGGGACCCCTTGGCATAGGGCCCTGCCCAACGGACGTCCCCAGAAAGCCCCTGCCAGACATGAGTCCTCCAGTGATCCCCCCCCCCCCCCCCCGCCAGCCCTTCTCCGGCTCTGCCGGATGTACAAATGTAAAAATGAAGGAATTACTTTTTATATGTGAACGAGCCAGCGAGCACAGTATTATCTCTTCCATTCCCCTTCCTGCCTGCTCCTCAGCACCGCCCCCACCCCCCATGCTGCCTTGAGCGGGCAGGGAGGGCTCTTTGGCTCAAAGGTATGAAGGAGCCCATCTCCGGTCCCTACCACACACCCCTGGAAGCTGGTGACACGGCCTTCTGCCTGTGCGAGACACTAGTCAGGGCTCCCTGTCCTGGCTTCCCCCTCCTCAGTTCTCTGGGGTTACTTCTGGGGAGGTGGAGTCCTCCGCTGACCCTGTCTGGAAGATTTGGCTTTGTGAGGTAGGAAGAAGAGAGGTTTTTTTTAGTTCTTGAGGGAAGTCACCCCAAGCCCCAGCTCCCACTTCTGGGGCACCTCTGAGATGGCCATGCTCAGTACCCCCTTCCAGACAGGCTCTCCCCTCTCCAGTGTCCCCACTGTGGCTCCTAGGGCTGAATACATTCTTTGGTACCGGTCCCCAAGCTCCCTCCCCTGAGGACCAGGAAGAGTTGGGGCATACCAAGGAAGGGCAAGCGGGCAGCCCCATTTTGGGGACGTGAACGTTTTAATAATTTTTGCTGAATTCCTTTACAACTAAATAACACAGATATTGTTATAAATAAAATTGTAAAAAAGAAAAAAAAGAAAAGAAAAAAAGCCGCTGTGTCTGCCTGCTAGTGTGAGACTTTGACAGCTGGGGCTGTGCTTCCTGCTCTAGCCACCAGAGGGAGCCTTGCTGCATGCTGGAGGCCGGCCTGGGAACCCTAAGGTCAATGTCTGCGGCCACACTCCATCCCCCAGTCTTCCTATGGCAGGAAGAGCTGCTTTTCCTTGGCGTCTGACCTTAAGCCTGTGACTTGTGGTGGTAGGATCTGGTGTTCCCCTGCCCCAGCGCACTGATTTGGAGATCTGTTTCACTGCTTTATACCCTCACTGTGCACGTGTCCCCACAGCGAGCTGCCACACCAGAAAAAAATGAGTACATTGGGTCATGAGGCTTCCCAGGTCTTCAGGATGGTCAGCTACAGCCCCCTGCTCCCAGCTCTGAGATGCCATGAGTAAAAACCGTGGCTGTCAAGGTGGGCAAGGTGCTCCCATGGGTAGACACTTGCTACGCAGGCCTGGTGACCTGAGTTTGATCTTGGAACCCATAGAAGAATGAGCGAGCACCAGCTCCATAAAACTATTCTCTGATCTCCACATATACACTTTGGCACACACGCCCAGTACAGGGGGAGGCCTGGAGTGAAGAAGGGCTCAGAAGACAGTTTGCCAGGCCCGCCAGCCTCTGACACACACCGCAGGTATTCCCGGAGTTGACCAAGAAAAGACTTGTGCCTTCTAAGTTTATCTAGGTCACCTTGGACCTCTCTCAAAGGGGCTGAACCTCTTGCAGATTAGGTGGCTTTACACTGTCCAGGACTGAGGGAGGACTGGAACCCTGTGCTCCCAACAGCAGCAAGCACAATGTCTCCCAAGGAGCACCCCTGCTTCTGCTTCTCACCCCTGACCCTCTCCGGCTCAGCCTCCCCCACACCCCAGCATTTATCCCTAGCTGCCTCCCTTGGGAAAGTTGACGGATAGATCCAGGAACAAGACCATTCCTTTCCCTTCATCCTCGAGACCTCATCTCCAACTTTATCCCCAAAGCCTGCTCTCAGATCTCCGTAGCTTCCTCAGATTCCCCAGGGGCCTGGGATGAGCAGCCCTGCAGGGAAAGAAAAGTGGGGGTGTCCTTGTTGATCCTGAAGTGATAGGCTTGTGGCGACGTCTGGCCACCAGGTGGCATCTACACTGCTGTAGCTCGGTTTATCCTAAAGCTCAACGCTCTAATTATGCACCTGCCGAGGACCCTAGCCCAGCCTCTCACTCGCTTCCCTGGGGCTATTTTGTGCTTGCTGACCCTTCCACCCCGTCAGCCATCTTCCTTCCCTCCCCCAGAGCCTGCTGACTTCCCCCGCCACCCCCCCCAACAGCAGTCCCACCCTCCCAGCCCCCTCCTCCTGCCAGCCGGCATCTGTAGCCCCCCCGGGAGTCACTGATTCTCTGCCTGTCACCTCAAGATCCTGAGTAGAGCAAGATGGCCCCCAGCTGCGGCTTAGAACGCATATCCCTTCAGTGAGCACCCTCCCTCTGCCGGCCAGGGCCAGAAGGGTCCACCTGGAGCAATCTCCCAGCAATCTAGCAAGCCAAATGGGAGGACGGTATCTCAAGAACCAAAAGATACTGAACAGAAATAAGCAGACTGATTCAAATCAAATGAAAGGTTTTTCGGGAACAGAGGCCAAGGCCTAGGGATTAGTAGCATGCACATGTGTGTCCATGGGCATGCATGTGTCATCTCTGAGAAAATCAGATGGTCTGAGATTAGCCAAAGTGGTGATAGGGTGGGTCTAAAGATGGAGACTTTGGCCATGGGTTTCTGTCCTGGGCACCTAAGGCATAGGACTACCCTCTGCCTTCCTCTAGTACTTAAAGCAAGTCCCCTACTTGGGCTCAGCCCTGAATTCTAGTTGGGGCCATTTGGCCTTGTCCCTGACATTTTCCGTCCAGCCTTTCTCCCTTCAGTCCTGACAGTCAAACAGCTGCTTCCTGGTTTTTGTCTCCTTGCGTGTCACTAAGTCAATCTCATCCCCTCAGCATTCCTGTCCTTTCCCTGACCCTCTCTTTTTGGTGTCTGTCACATCCAATATGTGTCTGTCCGTTCTTTTCATATTCTCAGGCTTGTCTTTAGGAGAGCCAGTGTGTGTGTGTGTGTGTGTGTGTGTGTGTGTGTGTGTGTGTGTGTCTGTCTGTCTGTCTGTCTGTCTGTCTGTCCAGCTCCATGGATGCTTGCCTCTCTGTCAAGGCAAGAGTGTTCTGCCTACCTGCCGGCTTATGCAAATCACTGGATGCTCCTGTGTGTAAATCATGTGTCCCTCCGAGTGTGCCTGCATGCCTCTGTGTATGCTGGTCTGCCGGTGAATGTATTCCGCTTGGTGCGCTCACTGCTACAGTGTAGCTGGCTACTATGAATGTGGTGTATGCCTGGAGACATATCTTGGGGTGTGGGCCTGTCTATCCATTTCTTTGCTTGTTCCTATCTCTTGCTGTCTAGGTGTTGGTCATTACCACCACCTCAGACTCAGCCACGGTGCATAGCAACAGCTGACAGTTGAAGACTCCCTGGGCAGGGGAGAGAGAGACCAGTGGGAGGAGGGAACAGATGAAGAAAAAGCCCAGCGGATGATGACAGAGACAGTGCTGGAGCTGGGGACAGAGACAAGGACAGAGATAGACAGGGAAGGGGACAGGATGAGAACAGCTGGGAGTGGAAGATGGGACTGTGGGAGGGAAAGCAGAGGGATTGTACCAGGAGGCTGGGCAGACGCCACTGAGGACTTCCTGCCCAGCCCCCACGTAAGGTGGCTCTGGGCTGGGCAGGGTCAGCAATGGGGATCGAGGGACAACTTAAAAAGAATCGGTGTAGCCAAGGGGTCCGGAGACCGCAGAGGTGCCGTGGGGCGGGGCGGGGCGGGGTGGCGGGTGCCGTTTGTCAGCCCTATTGACAGACGTGATGGGGTTTCCGTCCGTGATCAATGATTCTCATCTCCGGGCCGAATGAGCCGCGGGGCGCCCATCCATCCCCGTCAGCGCCGTGCGCCGTGGTAGTCGCCCGAGGCCCCGCCAGCCCTCACCTCAGCCCCTGTCCCGCTCTCTGAACGGGACCCACCTCGGCCTGGAGCATAGAAGAGACCCCTCCGCGCCCCGATCGATCCCTCAGGACCCTGGTCCTGGCGCGCGCCGCCGAGGCTGGCGGGGCCCCTGTTCCACGACGCCCCCTTCGTGCGCACAGTCCAGCGCCTAGAGCCCCACGCCCAGTCCTAGCGCTCAACCGCGCCCAGACCTGGCGTCTTTGGGGTGCCGCCCCCCCAGGCCCCTCGACCCTCTCTGGCTTCGCACCTGAGCCAGGGGCGTGTCCGGGGCGTGTCCCGGTGAAAGTCACCTTCCGTGCCCCCAGCTGGGCGGGAGGGGGGCGCGCGGGGCGCGGCCGGGATTGGAGCTCCACGGAGCCCCGCCCCTCCTGCCCGCCCGACTCAGACCCAACTTTCTCCCCCGCCCGCGCCCCGCCCCCAGCGCCGCGCTCTCCGCTCCGCTCGGCGCTCAGTCTGCGGGCCGAGCCGCCCGCTCCCGCCGCCGCCCTCAGCCCGGTGCCCACTCCGGCCCACCCCGGGACCCGCCCTGCCCGACCCGCTCGGCCGCCCGGGAAGATGCGGCTGCTCCCGGAATGGCTCCTCTTGCTCTTGGGGCCGTGGCTCCTTAGGAAGGTAAGGGTGACAGAACCAGGGCGAGGGGTCCCGGACGGGAAGAACCCTGCGTGCCAGGGGGTTCCGTGCGTCCGCCCCGCCCCCAGCACTAAACGTCCCAACTTTGTGCGCCGTGGGGGAAGCGGACAGACAGACTGCCCGCTTTAAGACTGGCATGCGCCCAGCGCAAGTTGGCTAAGGGTTAGAAGAAGGTGCGGGGTGGAGGCCGGGCTCCGATCGGCTTCAGGCGTGACGGGGGAGGGGACGAAGCGCGACCCGCGAGTGCGCCAGACAGGGAAGGAGTGCGAGACAGACAGACAAGCCAGAGGGTGTTAGCCTAGCCTTTTTTCCGTGCCTACCTTGCTCGCCCTCTTCTCTGTCTGTCCTTCCCCGTCTCACCCTCTACCTTCCCATTTCTCTTCTCCTTACTTGTCACAAAGCCAGGTAGGCTCTGAGATCCGAGCACGCCTGGCCCAGGCGCTTACACTGACCCACAGCAGCAGGGCCGAACTTGGCTACAGTCTCCATCACATTTCCCGCGGAGACACCATCTCCCCTGCACAGCCTCACAGACACACCCCCCTTTTCGTGCCTGGTGGGTGGGGGTTGTCTAGAAGCGGAGTCTCTTCCCCCACCTCCTCCCTACCCCCACCCTTCTTCACTGCCTCTTTTCCTTGGGTTTTTGGGTGAAGACCCAAAAACTAAAAAGGGCCCAGACC